GTAGTAGTAGTAGTATTAGTAGTAGTTCGGGCACACTATTGCCTTGGAATTCATGTTGTTCACGCTCCTCCATAATTTTTCATCCCCCATAGTCTAACCAGTTCGCATTTTGGAGCGTCTGGGATATTACCACCCTTTTCAAGTCCAGTCGCTTAATTTTATTGACTCTGGCACGTTTACATTGTGTTAGAGATTTTTTTATAGAGTAGAGTAAAAGAGGAGAGGAGGGGAGACAGAGTATAATAAAAGAGAGAGGGGGAGAGCACAGTAAAGTAAACAGCGAGAGGAGGGGGGAGTACAGAGTAAAGTAAAAAAGAGAGAGGAGGGGAAGTAGGGGGAGTAGGGAAGTACAGAGTAGAGTAAAAAGAGAGAGGAGGGGAGTGATACAGAGTTTAGAGTAAAAAGTGAGGAGGGGGAGTACAGAGGTAAAGTACAAAGAGAGAGGGGGGAGAGTACAGAGTTAAAGTAAAAAAAGAGAGGAGGGGGAGTACAGAGTAGAGTAAAAAGAGAGAGGAGGGGAGTACAGAGTAAAGTAAAAAGAGAGAGGAGGGGGGAAAGTCAGTAAAAGTAAAAAGAGAGAGAGGGGGGGAGTGAGTACAGAGTAGAGTAAAAAGAGAGGAGGGGAAGTACAAGAGTAGAGTAAAAGGAGAGAGGAGGGGAGTAAAAGTAAAGTAAAAAGAGAGAGGAGGGGAGTACAGAGTAGAGTAAAAAGAGAGAGCGGAGGGGAGTAGTAAAGTAAAAAGAGAGGAGGGGGAGAGTACAGAAAAGTAACGTAAAAGAGAGAGGGGGGAGTACAGAGTAGAGTAAAAAGAGAGAGGAGGGGGAGTACAGAGTAAAGTAAAAAGAGAGAGGAGGGGGAGTACAGAGTAAAGTAAAAGAGAGAGGAGGGGAGATTACAGAGGGTAAAGTAAAAAAGAGAGAGGAGGGGGGAGTACAGAGTAAAGTAAAAAGAGAGAGGAGGGGAGTAAAGTAAAAAAGAGAGAGGAGGGGAGTACAGAGTAAAGTAAAAAGAGAGAGGAGGGGAGTAAAGTAAAAAGAGAGAGGAGGGGAGTACAGAGTAGAGTAAAAAGAGAGAGGAGGGGGAGTACAGAGTAAAGTAAAAAGAGAGAGGAGGGGAGAGGTAAAGTAAAAAGAGAGAGGAGAGGGGAGTACAGAGTAAAGTAAAAAGAGAGAGGAGGGGAGTACAGAGTAAAGTAAAAAAAGAGAGGAGGGGGAGAAGTAAGAGTAACGAGTAAAAAGAGAGCAGGAGGGGAGGAGGTACAGAGTAAAGTAAAAAAAAGATGAGGAAGGGGAGTACAGGTAGAAGTAATAAAAGAGAGAGGAGGGGCGTACAGAGTACAGTAAAAAGAGAGAGGAGGGGAGTTAAAGTAAAAACGATGAGAGGAGGGGAGAGTTACAAGAGTAGAGTAAAGAGAGAGAGGAGGGGCGTAGAGTAAAGAGAGAGGCGGGGAGACAGAGTAAAGAGTAAAAAGAGAGAGGAAGGGAAGTAAGTAAAAAGAGAGAGGAGGGGAGTTACAGAGTGAGTAAAAGAGAGAGGAGGGGAGTAAAAGTAAAAAAAACAGAGAGGAGGGGAAGGAGAGTAAAAGAGAGAGGAGGGGAGTACAGAGTAAAGTAAAAAAGAGAGGAGGGGGAGTACAGAGTAGAGTAAAAAGAGAGAGGAGGGGAGAGTACAGAGTAAAGTAAAAGAGAGAGGAGGGAGGGAGAGTCAGAGGAAAATAAAAAGAGGAGAGGAGGGGGAGTACAGTAAAGTAAAAAGAGAGAGGAGAGGGAGTACAGAGTAGGTAAAAAGAGAGGAGGAGGGGGAGTAACAGAGTGAGAGTACGAGTAAAGTAACAAGAGAGAGGAGGGGAGTAAAGTAAAAAGAGAGAGGAGTGAGAGGAGGGGAGTACAGAGTAAGTAAAAAGAGGAGAGGGAGGGGGAGTACAGAGTAAAGTAACAAGAGAGAGGAGGGGAGTAACGCGGTAGTAAAGTAAAAAGAGAGAAGAGGGGAGTTACAGGTAGAGTTAGTAAAAAGAGAGAGGAGGGGAGTAACAGGTAAAGTAAAAAGAGAGAGGAGGGGAGTACAGAGTAGAGTAAAAAGAGAGAGGAGGGGATACAGCGTAGAGTAAAAAGAGAGGAGGGGGAGTTAAAGAGTAAGTGTAAAGTAAAAGAGGAGAGGGACGGGGAGTGAGTAACAGAGTAAAGTATAAACAAAGAGAGGGAGGGGAGTACAGAGAGTAAAGTAAAAAGAGAGAGGCGGGGGGGAAGGGGGGAGTACCAGTAAAGTAAAAAGAGAGAGGAGGGGGGCGTACAGAGTAAAAGTAAACGAGAGAGGAGGGGAGTAAAGTAAAGAGAGAGGAGGGGCGTACCAGAGTAAAGTTAAAAAAGAGAGAGGATGGGAAGTAAAGTAAAAGAGAGAGGAGGGGAGTAGTACAGGTAGAGTAAAAAAGAGAGGGAGGGGAGTTACAGAGTAGCGTAAAAAGAGAGAGGAGGGGGAGTACACAGTAGAGTAAAAGAGAGAGAGGGGAGGGAAAGTAAAAAGAGAGAGGAGGGGAGTAAAGGAAAAAGAGAGAGGAGGGGGAGTACAGAGTAAAGTAAAAAGAGAGAGGAGGGGCGTAGTACAGAAGTAAAGTTAAAGAGAGAGAGGAGGGGAGTACAGAGTAAAGTAAAAAAAGAGAGGAGGGGGCAGTACAGAGAGAGTAAAAAGAGAGAGGAGGCGGAGCGTACGAGTAAAGTAAAAAAGAGAGCGGAGAAGGGGGAGTACAGAGGTAAGTAAAAGAGAGAGGCGGGGAGTTAAAGTAAAAAGAGAGGAGAGGAGGGGAGTCGAGTTAAAAATAGAGAGGAGGGGGAGTACAGAGAAAGTAAAAAAAAAAGAGAGGAGGGGGAGTACAGAGTAGAGTAAAAGAGAGAGGGAAGGGGAGGTAAGAGTGAGTAAAAAAGAGAGAGGGGGGGAGTACAGAGTAGAGTAAAAAGAGAGAGGAGGGGAGTACAGAGTAGAGTAAAAAGAGAGAGGAGGGGAGTAAATTAAAAAGAGAGAGGAGGGGAGTACAGAGTAAAGTAAAAAGAGAGAGGAGAGGAGTAAAGTAAAAAGAGAGAGGAGGGGAGTACAGAGTAAAGTAAAAAGAGAGAGAAGAGGGGAGTTAGAAAGTAAAAAGAGAGAGGAGGGGAGTACAGAGTAAAGTAAAAAGAAGAGAGGAGGGGGAAGTTACAGGAGAAAGTAAAAAGAGAGAGGTAGGGGAAGTAATTTAGTACAGAGTAAAGTTTATAAAAGAGAGAGGAGGGGGAGTACAAAGTAAAAGAGAGGAGGAGGGAGTACAGAGTAAGTAAAAGAGAGAGGAGGGGGGAGTACAGAGTAAAGTAAAAGAGAGGAGAGGGGGAGTCCAGAGTAGATAGAGTAAAAAGAGAGAGGAGGGGGAGTACAGAGTAGAGTAAAAAGAGAGAGGAGGGGGAGTACAGAGTAGAAGTAAAAAGATTTGTTGATACTATAATTATAATATGCACCATAAAAGGCAAGTAAACATGTTCTCACAGCATGAGCTCCTGAGTGGCTCCTCACTCCTGAGTGGCGCAGTGGTCTAAGGCACTGCATCGCAGTGCTAACTGTGCCACTAGAGATCCTGGTTCGCGACCGGGAGACTCATGGGCGGCGCACAATTGGCCCAGGGTAGGGGAGGGAATGGCCGGCAGGGATGTAGCTCAGTTGATAGAGCATGGCGTTTGCAACGCCAGGGTTGTGGGTTCGATTCCCACGGGGGGCCAGTATTAAAAAAAAAATATGTATTCACTAACTGTAAGTCGCTCTGGATAAGAGCGTCTGCTAAATGACGTAAATGTAATGAGCTGTATTCTTTTTTCCAAAAATTATTTCACCAAAGATTACCAATGCAGAAAGAATGTCACTCAAGAGCATGAATATCCAGAAACAAAAGGCTTTATTTGACCTTTTTTCCATTTTAACTGAGAGCTGAACTATCTTCCTCTATGGGCCCCTCTACCTCTCCTTTGTCCTTGCCCTCTGCCTTTTACTTGGTCCATTCTGGCAAATAGCAACTCAGAGGTGACCTATTTTATGCATGAGGTGTTGCACACCTGCAGAAGAAGTTCACATTAATGGGAGTAATTTGTATCAGCAGATCGTGGCGCTATAACAAGCGATTGAAAATGCAAACGTTGAAAGGTCACGACCCTAAAGTCATGAAATTAGATACATAGGTACCTCTCCTCACAAGGAACAAATTTGCCTCAGATAGAACAATGAACCAGATATTTCACCGGATGTGAAGTGGCGTTTCCACTCACTACCAAATAGTGTGATGAGGGGAAGCCCAGTGGCCGGCAGTGGGAGAAGATGAAGCTAGATGGATTTTGGCCGACATTCTGCTAATTTTCTCATCGATGAAACATTTGATCTCCATACAGTTTTCCAAAACTAAAATCTGTAACAAACAGAGTGGGCTGCGTTTTGTAGACTTTACCCTTTGGCAAAGTTTTAAAAAAAGGGGGGCGCTATAGTAATCAACTGTATGTACGTTAGTCACACGCAATATCTCAGACACCACTGCACCGATTTTGACGAAACTTGTGTGAATGATGCGTCTTGCCATAGAGATCCGTCATTTACGGAATTACACTGATTGGCCCAAGGGAGGCGCTGCATCATTCGTGGGGGACGACATGTTTACTGTTGCCTTGTTTTTTCTGGCATAGATTATTTCCTGCTCAAATATCTCCCCTCTCCTTTCCTCTCCTCTCCCTCTCCTCTCCTCCTCTCCTGTCCTCCATCCACCCCCTGTTCTTTCATGCGCTCTTGTATTTGATACCCTCTAGTGGTTTTACAGGAGTTTGTCACCAATCCACATGATACACAATTACTATGATATTTGAGGAACTAATCCTGGGACTAACATCATTACAACTAACTATGAAATCTGTGTTCAGCAATGTTCAAAGGCAAAGTTACTGTAACCAGGCGGAACCTTTTGCCGCTTATCGTTTCCCCTCGGTCATATTTGACTGTTACACTGGTTTGGCACCTGAACCACTGTTGAGAACAGCCTGGAGTACATTTTTCAACGTGTTTCTCATACAGGTAAATGTTATTTTGTTATATCAAGCATTTTGATGAAATGTTAGATGTGTTTACTAGCGTGTCATCAACATGGTTTTGTTTTGGACTCTATTTAAATCAAATCCACCGGCATTTTACTAGCTACTGTGCTAACGTTAGCTGGCTAACCAATAGTCATGTGCACCCAGTGGCTGTATAACTAGCTACAGTATGTGTGCACCAGTTCTGACTACTATAGGTAACGTTAGCTACACGAGTCGACACGCGATCGCTAACATTGGTGGATCTCGGTCGTCTGCTGCTTTGTCAAATGTTTTTGAAATGGCCTCATTAACATGAATTAAATTGTCCTTGTCACACCCAGAGCATCATTGTTGCGGGGAAATGAGGATGAGAGATAACACAATATCAACTAAACGTATGCAATAACTACCCTATGAAACTGTCCAGAGATAATTGTTTATCAGTCCTATAAGTCCTACAGATATACTATCTCGCTATAAGTCCTACAGATATACTATCTCGCTATAAGTCCTACAGATATACTATCTCGCTATAAGTCCTACAGATATACTATCTTGCTATAAGTCCTACAGATATACTATATGCTCTTCAATCGAACGCTGCTGGCACCCGCCCACCCGACTAGAATCACTACTCTCGACCGGTCTGACCTAGAGTATGTGGACAACTACAAATACCTAGGTGTCTGGTTAGACTGTAAACTCTCCTTCCAGACTCACATAAAGAATCTCCAATCCAAAGTTAAATCTAGAATCGGCTTCCTATTTCGCAACAAAGCCTCCTTCACTCATGCTGCCAAACATGCCCTCGTAAAACTGACTATCCTACCGATCCTTGACTTCGGCGATGTCATTTACAAAATAGCCTCCAACACTCTACTCAGCAAATTGGATGTAGTCTATCACAGTGCCATCCGTTTTGTCTCCAAAGCCCCATACACTACCCACCACTGTGACCTGTACGCTCTTGTTGGTTGGTCCTCACTACATATTCGTCGCCAAACCCACTGGCTCCAGGCCATCTATAAATCACTGCTAGGCAAATCCCCGCCTTATCTTAGCTCATTAGTCACCATAGCAACACCCACCCGTAGTATGCGCTCCAGCAGGTATATCTCACTGGTCATCCCCAAAGCCAACACCTCCTTTGGCCGCCATTCCTTCCAGTTCTCTGCTGCCAATGACTGGAAAGAATTGCAAAAATCTCTGAAGCTGGAGACTCTTATCTCCCTCACTAACTATAAGCATCAGTTGTCAGAGCACCTTACCGATCACTGCACCTGTACACAGCCCATCTGAAATTAGCCCACCCAACTACCTCATCCCCATATTGTTATTTATTTTGCTAATTTGCACCCCAGTATCTCTATTTGCACATCATCTCTTGCACATCTATCATTCCAGTGTTAATACTAATTGTAATTATTTTGCACTATAGCCTATTTATTGCCTTACCTCCATAACTTGCTACATTTGCACACACTGTATATATATTGTCTGTTGTATTTTTGACTTTATGTTTTGTTTTACCCCATATGTAACTCTGTGTTGTTGTTTTTATCGCACTGCTTTGCTTTATCTTGGCCAGGTCGCAGTTGTAAATGAGAACTTGTTCTCAACTGGCTTACCTGGTTAAATAAAGGTGAAATAAAAATAAATAAAAAATATACTATCTTGCTATAAGCTCAGCTGGTAGAGCACGGCGCTTGTAACGCCAAGGTAGTGGGTTCGATCCCCGGGACCACCCATAAACAAAAAATGTATGCAAGCATGACTGTAAGTCGCTTTGGATAAAAGCGTCTGCTAAATGGCATATTATATATATATATATATATATTTTTATAAGTCCTACAGATATACTATCTTGCTAGAAGTCCTACAGATATACTATCTAGCTAGCTAGTTAATATCCAAGAAAGACCATGGCCCGTTTCGGTGGTCATTGGCCCAAGGGGAATCACCTTCCTACTGTAGTTCTACCCAGTACCAGTACCCTCATATTTTGACTGTATTGTCCTCCTATGCTCAAAACAACGTATGTTTTCTCTCTTTCCCCTCTGCCAGGTCAGGCTGTGAGGCTGCGGTGATGGCTGTGAAGCTGCAAGGCTTTGAGTTCTGGAAGACCACGCTGAGGGGAGCGTGTTACATCGTTGCACCCATGGTGGACCAGAGCGAACTGGCCTGGCGTCTACTGAGCCGTCGCCACGGCGCTGAGCTGTGCTACACGCCCATGCTGCATGCGCAGGTGTTCGTACGTGACGCCAACTACAGGAGAGATAACCTGTACAGCGAAGTCTGCCCCGAAGACAGGCCGCTTATTACACAGGTGAGAGAGAGAGACAAACACATGTTGACAGAGGAAGGGAGTGTCACTCAGTTACAGTGGGGGAAAAAAGTATTTAGTCAGCCACCAATTGTGCAAGTTCTCCCACTTAAAAAGATGAGAGAGGCCTGTAATTCTCATCATAGGTACACGTCAACTATGACAGACAAATTGAGAAATTTTTTCTCCAGAAAATCACATTGTAGGATTTTTTATGAATTTATTTGCAAATTATGGTGGAAAATAAGTATTTGGTCACCTACAAACAAGCAAGATTTCTGGCTCTCACAGACCTGTAACTTCTTCTTTAAGAGGCTCCTCTGTCCTCCACTCGTTACCTGTATTAATGGCACCTGTTTGAACTTGTTATCAGTATAAAAGACACCTGTCCACAACCTCAAACAGTCACACTCCAAACTCCACTACTGAATCTGCAATAGGTAACCAGCTTGGTTTGAAGAAATCAACTGTGGGAGCAATTATTAGGAAATGGAAGACATACAAGACCACTGATAATCTCCCTCGATCTGGGGCTCCACGCAAGATCTCACCCTGTGGGGTCAAAATTATCACAAGAACGGTGAGCAAAAATCCCAGAACCACACTGGGGGAACTAGTGAATGACCTGCAGAGAGCTGGGACCAAAGTAACAAAGCCTACCATCAGTAACACACTACGCCGCCAGGGACTCAAATCCTGCAGTGCCAGACGTGTCCCCCTGCTTAAGCCAGTACATGTCCAGGCCCGTCTGAAGTTTGCTAGAGTGCATTTGGATGATCCAGAAGAGGATTGGGAGAATGTCATATGGTCAGATGAAACCAAAATAGAACTTTTTGGTAAAAACTCAACTCGTCGTGTTTGGAGGACAAAGAATGCTGAGTTGCATCCAAAGAACACCATACCTACTGTGAAGCATGGGGGTGGAAACATCATGCTTTGGGGCTGTTTTTCTGCAAAGGGACCAGAACGACTGATCCGTGTAAAGGAAAGAATGAATGGGGCCATGTATCGTGAGATTTTGAGTGAAAACCTCCTTCCATCAGCAAGGGCATTAAAGATGAAACGTGTCTGGGTCTTTCAGCATGACAATGATCCTAAACACACCGCCCGGGCAACGAAGGAGTGGCTTCGTAAGAAGCATTTCAAGGTCCTGGAGTGGCCTAGCCAGTCTCCAGATCTCAACCCCATAGAAAATCTTTGGAGGGAGTTGAAAGTCCGTGTTGCCCAGCGACAGCCCCAAAACATCACTGCTCTAGAGGAGATCTGCATGGAGGAATGGGCCAAAATACCAGCAACAGTGTGTGAAAACCTTGTGAAGACTTACAGAAAACGTTTGACCTGTGTCATTGCCAACAAAGGGTATATAACAAAGTATTGAGAAACTTTTGTTATTGACCATATACTTATTTTCCACCATAATTTGCAAATAAATTCATAAAAAATCCTACAATGTGATTTTTTGGATTTTTTTTTCTCATTTTGTCTGTCATAGTTGACGTGTACCTATGATGAAAATTACAGGCCTCTCTCATCTTTTTAAGTGGGAGAACTTGCACAATTGGTGGCTGACTAAATACTTTTTTTCCCCACTGTATATGCCAGTAACTCAGAGGTGTTTGTGATGTACTTTCTCTGCTTTCTTTGTATGTGTGTGTCTCAGTTCTGTGCCAACGACCCAGAGGTGTTTGTCCAGGCATGTCTACTGGTTCAGGACTACTGTGATGCCATTGACCTCAACCTGGGATGCCCACAGATGATCGCCAAGAGAGGTACTAACTAACCTACCCTGAAGCCCCACTCAGAGAGAGTGTGAGAGAGACCCTGATTAAAAAACATTTGTTTTCAATTTGGCTAAAAGTGCTGTATGTATGAGGTCAACTTGTTTCTAACTGGCTTATTTCTCCGAAGGGCACTACGGAGTCTTTCTACAGGATGAGTGGGACCTGCTGGAGAAGATGGGTGAGTTTTCACAGAGAGGGAGAGAGAGAGAGGAGGGAGAGAGAGAGGAGGGAGAGAGGGAGAGAGTTGGAGAGGTAGAAAGAAAAGAGAGCAAGATAAATGGTTGTATTATGTTTTACCTGTCTGGAATGTGCCTTACATCAGAAGCACTCTGTCTTTACTCTACTACATCATTAGTAGAAAAAAGTGTCAAGTGTGAGTGTTCGCTTTTTGCGGGGGTTTAAAGTTTCAGATGTTTTCGGAAGATGGTCAGGGACTCTGCTGTCCTAGCTTCAGGGGGAAGCTTGTTCCACCATTGGGGTGCCAGGACAGAGAAGCCCTTGGACTGGGCTGAGCGGGAGCTGCGGAGTGGGAGGGCCAAGAGACCAGAGGTGGCAGAACAGAGTACTCAGGTTGGGGTGTAGGGTTTGAGCATAGCCTGAAGGTAGGGAGGGGCAGTTCCTCTTGCTGCTCCGTAGACAAACACCAGGGTCTTGAAGATGATGCGAGCTTCGACTGGAAGCCATTGGAGTGTGTGGGGAGTGGGCTGCCGAGTTCTGGAGAAGTTGCAGGGGTTTGACGGCACAAGCGGGGAGCCCAGCCAACAGTGAGTTGCAGTAGTCCAGATAGGAGAGGACAAGTGCCTGGATTAGGACCTGTGCCGCTTCCTGTGTGAGGCAGGGTCGTACTCTACGGATGTTGTAGAGCATGAACCTGCAGGAGAGAGTCACTGCTTTGATGTTTGCCGAGAACGACAGGGTGTTGTTCAGGATCACGCCAAGGTTCTTTGCACTCTGGGAGGGGGACACCGTGGAGTTGTCAACCGTGATGGAGAGGTCTTGGAGTGGGCAGGCCTTTCCCGGGAGGAAGAGCAGCTCCGTCTTGTCGAGGTTGAGCTTGAGGTGGTGGGCCCGACATCCAAGCTGAGATATCTGCCAGGCACGCATAGATGCGTGTCGCCACCTGGGTGTCAGCAGGGGGGAAGGAGAAAAGTAGTTGAGGGTCATCCGCATAGCAATGATAGGAGAGACCATGAGAGTATATGATGGAGCCGAGTGACTTGGAGCCCTGGGGACACCAGTAGTGAGAGTACGTGGTGCAGACACAGATTCTACCCTCGTCACCTGGTCTCAATGTTTCTCCTTAGTGAAGCTAGCCAATGAGAAGATCTCTGTTCCCATCACCTGTAAGATCCGTGTGTTTAACAAGATGGAGAAGACTGTTCAGTACGCTCAGATGCTGGAGAAGGCTGGCTGCCAGGTGAGAAACATACTTACACACACACACACATTCATATTTTATTTAGATCTTCTATGAAACATGAGGCGACACACTCATTCAGAGCTCTCTGTCTCAGCTGCTGACTGTTCACGGTCGGACCAAGGACCAGAAAGGACCCGCGACAGGCATCGCTAGCTGGGAACACATCAAGGCTGTACGGTAAGCAGACTACACTGCAGTTCCCTCACAGTTAAATAAAGACTACAGAGAATAACCAATATTATGTTTCTCCAACAAACATTGAGATTGTCAGTTGGAGACAGTTTGTGTAGTCTAATAGGTCTGCTGTGTAGTTGGAGACAGTTTGTGTAGTCTGGTAGGTCTGCTGTGTAGTTGGAGACGGTTTGTGTAGTCTAGTAGGTCTGCTGTGTAGTTGGAGACGGTTTGTGTAGTCTAGTAGGTCTGCTGTGTAGTTGGAGACAGTTTGTGTAGTCTAGTAGGTCTGCTGTGTAGTTGGAGACAGTTTGTGTAGTCTGGTAGGTCTGCTGTGTAGGTCTCCTGTGTTTGTTGAGCCAATCCAAACAAGAAGTTCCTTCACAGGAAAACATTCTATTCTACTGTACAGTATTCTATTCTATTGTCAGAGAGCTGATCATGTGACTGTACTGGGTTTATTAAACAGTCGCTCTCTCCCTCTCTCTCTCTCTCTCTCTCTGTGTGTTGTTGCTATAGGAACGCTGTTAACATCCCTGTGTTCGCTAACGGTAACATCCAACACTTGAGTGATGTGGAGCAGTGTATAGAGGAGACTGGAGTACAGGGGGTGATGAGTGCAGGTACACACACACACACCGAGAGACTCACTCACACACACACACAGAAAGACTCAGTCACACACCGAGAGACTCACTCACATACCGAGAGACTCACACACACACACACACACCGAGAGACTCTCACACACACACACACACACACACACACACACACACGACACACACCGAGAGACTCACACACAGACTGAGAGACACACACACACACACCGAGAGACACACACACCGAGAGACTCACACACACACACACACACACACACCGAGAGACACACACACCGAGAGACTCACACACACACACACCGAGAGACTCACACACACACACACACCGAGAGACTCACACACACACACACACCGAGAGACTCACACACACACACACACACACCGAGAGACTCACACACACACACACACACACCGAGAGACTCACACACACACACCGAGAGACACTGTCATGATAATTTCTCTCTCTAATTCAACCTAAGCTTGAATCATTACCAGGGGTTGTAAGGCTCTGGTTTTAATCATAAATGATTCAAGGTCCACAACCAGCAAGAATTATCTGTATGTTTATTCATGGAGAGCTCTGGCGCCAAAACCCATACCCTCCTGTTTTATACCCCTTGACACACAAAGGCACTTTGCTCCGCCCACCTTTAGGAGGCTTTTTTTAACCCGTTTTCTCAGTCTCCTTCACCCTGGAATGTTTAGTCCCGCCCCCCTCTGTTAGTGGGTTGCCACTACATTATAACTCTAACACCGTTCACACATTTATACTGTATTTGGGGTGAAATCCTTTAGTCATTATTCTTAAAATACAAATTAATCGAACAGACACACACACTGAGAGACTCACACACACACACAGAGAGACTCACACACACACCGAGAGACACTCACACACCTGCGCCTCACCTTGCGTAATTAGTCTCCCAAGAGTCATATTAGTCATAACACCTACTAATGTGTGTTTATCTCTCTCTTCCTCTGTGTGTTTCCAGAGGGGAACCTCCATAACCCAGCTCTGTTTGAGGGTCGTAGCCCTCCTGTATGGGAGATGGCTGAGGAGTATCTTGAGGTGGTCAACCAATACCCTCCGTGTACCCTGTCCTATGTCAGAGCACACCTCTTCAAGCTCTGGCACCACACGTACGTAACACACACACACACACACACTCTCAGTACTTCTCCATCAATCTGTGTGTGTTTATTTGTTAGTGTTTCCCCAGACTGCAGATCCACCAGGACCTGAGAGAGGAGCTGGCTAAGGTGAAGAACCTGCAGGGGCTGACAGAGATCAGCAGACAACTCAGACTACGCTGCCAGGTACCAAGGGATAGGGTTAACTACACTGCCAGGTACCAAGAGATAGGGTTAACTACACTGCCAGGTACCAAGGGATAGGGTTAACTACACTGCCAGGTACCAAGAGATAGGGTTAACTACACTGCCAGGTACCAAGGGATAGGGTTAACTACACTGCCAGGTACCAAGGGATAGGGTTAACTACACTGCCAGGTACCAAGGGATAGGGTTAACTACACTGCCAGGTACCAAGGGATAGGGTTAACTACACTGCCAGGTACCAAGGGATAGGGTTAGCTACACTGCCAGGTACCAAGGGATAGGGTTAACTACACTGCCAGGTACCAAGGGATAGGGTTAACTACACTGCCAGGTACCAAGGGATAGGGTTAGCTACACTGCCAGGTACCAAGGGATAGGGTTAGCTACACTGCCAGGTACCAAGGGATAGGGTTAACTACACTGCCAGGTACCAAGGGATAGGGTTAACTACACTGCCAGGTACCAAGGGATAGGGTTAGCTACACTGCCAGGTACCAAGGGATAGGGTTAGCTACACTGCCAGGTACCAAGAGATAGGGTTAGCTACACTGCCAGGTACCAAGAGATAGGGTTAGCTACACTGCCAGGTACCAAGAGATAGGGTTAGCTACACTGCCAGGTACCAAGGGATAGGGTTAACTACACTGCCAGGTACCAAGGGATAGGGTTAGCTACACTGCCAGGTACCAAGGGATAGGGTTAGCTACACTGCCAGGTACCAAGAGATAGGGTTAGCTACACTGCCAGGTACCAAGGGATAGGGTTAACTACACTGCCAGGTACCAAGGGATAGGGTTAGCTACACTGCCAGGTACCAAGGAATAGGGTTAACTACACTGCCAGGTACCAAGGGATAGGGTTAACTACACTGCCAGGTACCAAGGGATAGGGTTAGCTACACTGCCAGGTACCAAGGGATAGGGTTAGCTACACTGCCAGGTACCAAGAGATAGGGTTAACTACACTGCCAGGTACCAAGGGATAGGGTTAACTACACTGCCAGGTACCAAGGGATAGGGTTAGCTACACTGCCAGGTACCAAGGGATAGGGTTAGCTACACTGCCAGGTACCAAGGGATAGGGTTAACTACACTGCCAGGTACCAAGGGATAGGGTTAGCTACACTGCCAGGTACCAAGGGATAGGGTTAACTACACTGCCAGGTACCAAGGGATAGGGTTAACTACACTGCCAGGTACCAAGGGATAGGGTTAACTACACTGCCAGGTACCAAGGGATAGGGTTAGCTACACTGCCAGGTACCAAGGGATAGGGTTAACTACACTGCCAGGTACCAAGGGATAGGGTTAACTACGCTGCCAGGTACCAAGGGATAGGGTTAACTACGCTGCCAGGTACCAAGGGATAGGGTTAACTACGCTGCCAGGTACCAAGGGATAGGGTTAACTACACTGCCAGGTACCAAGGGATAGGGTTAACTACGCTGCCAGGTACCAAGGGATAGGGTTAACTACGCTGCCAGGTACCAAGGGATAGGGTTAACTACACTGCCAGGTACCAAGGGATAGGGTTAACTACACTGCCAGGTACCAAGGGATAGGGTTAACTACACTGCCAGGTACCAAGGGATAGGGTTAACTACACTGCCAGGTACCAAGGGATAGGGTTAACTACACTGCCAGGTACCAAGGGATAGGGTTAGCTACAACTGCCAGGTACCAAGGGATAGGGTTAGCTACACTGCCAGGGTACCAAGGGATAGGGTTAGCTACACTGCCAGGTACCAAGGGATAGGGTTAACTACACTGCCAGGTACCAGGGATAGGGTTAACTACACTGCCAGGTACCAAGGGATAGGGTTAGCTACACTGCCAGGTACCAAGGGATAGGGTTAACTACACTGCCAGGTACCAAGGGATAGGGTTAGCTACACTGCCAGGTACCAAGGGATAGGGTTAGCTACACTGGGTTACCAAGGGATAGGGTTAACTACACTGCCAGGTACCAAGGGATAGGGTTAACTACACTGCCAGGTACCAAGGGATAGGGTTAGCTACACTGCCAGGTACCAAGGGATAGGGTTAACTACACTGCCAGGTACCAAGGGATAGGGTTAACTACACTGCCAGGTACCAAGGGATAGGGTTAGCTACACTGCCAGGTACCAAGGGATAGGGTTAACTACCACTGCCAGGTACCAAGGGATAGGGTTAGCTACACTGCCAGGTACCAAGGGATAGGGTTAGCTACACTGCCAGGTACCAAGGGATAGGGTTAACTACACTGCCAGGTACCAAGGGATAGGGTTAACTACACTGCCAGGTACCAAGGGATAGGGTTAACTACACTGCCAGGTACCAAGGGATAGGGTTAGCTACACTGCCAGGTACCAAGGGATAGGGTTAACTACACTGCCAGGTACCAAGGGATAGGGTTAACTACACTGCCAGGTACCAAGGGATAGGGTTAGCTACACTGCCAGGTACCAAGGGATAGGGTTAGCTACACTGCCAGGTACCAAGGGATAGGGTTAACTACACTGCCAGGTACCAAGGGATAGGGTTAACTACACTGCCAGGTACCAAGGGATAGGGTTAACTACACTGCCAGGTACCAAGGGATAGGGTTAACTACACTGCCAGGTACCAAGGGATAGGGTTAGCTACACTGCCAGGTACCAAGGGATAGGGTTAACTACACTGCCAGGTACCAAGGGATAGGGTTAACTACACTGCCAGGGTACCAAGGGATAGGGTTAACTACACTGCCAGGTACCAAGGGATAGGGTTAACTACACTGCCAGGTACCAAGGGATAGGGTTAGCTACACTGCCAGGTACCAAGGGATAGGGTTAGCTACACTGCCAGGTACCAAGGGATAGGGTTAACTACACTGCCAGGTACCAAGGGATAGGGTTAACTACACTGCCAGGTACCAAGGGATAGGGTTAACTACACTGCCAGGTACCAAGGGATAGGGTTAGCTACACTGCCAGGTACCAAGGGATAGGGTTAACTACACTGCCAGGTACCAAGGGATAGGGTTAACTACACTGCCAGGTACCAAGGGATAGGGTTAGCTACACTGCCAGGTACCAAGGGATAGGGTTAGCTACACTGCCAGGTACCAAGGTATAGGGTTAACTACACTGCCAGGTACCAAGGGATAGGGTTAACTACACTGCCAGGTACCAAGGGATAGGGTTAACTACACTGCCAGGTACCAAGGGATAGGGTTAACTACACTGCCAGGTACCAAGGGATAGGGTTAGCTACACTGCCAGGTACCAAGGGATAGGGTTAGCTACACTGCCAGGTACCAAGGGATAGGGTTAACTACACTGCCAGGTACCAAGGGATAGGGTTAGCTACACTGCCAGGTACCAAGGGATAGGGTTAACTACACTGCCAGGTACCAAGGGATAGGGTTAGCTACACTGCCAGGTACCAAGGGATAGGGTTAACTACACTGCCAGGTACCAAGGGATAGGGTTAGCTACACTGCCAGGTATATAGGGTTAACTACACTGCCAGGTATATATGGTTAACTACACTGCCAGGTATATATGGTTAACTACACTGCCAGGTATATAGGGTTAACTACACTGCCAGGTAAAATGATAATTCAGTTTTTCACCTTTCCTCTCCTTCCCAAAATGTTTCTCCTTACCAATTCCTCCCCCTCTACTCCCCCTCCCAACACAGCTAGATTACACTGGTTCCTTTTTCATTTGTTTGACCTCTGCAGGAGGAAATAACCAATGGAGGAGAGGAGGCGGGGCAGGAGGTTGGGCTGCCGTTCCCTCATTGGATCTGCCAGCCGTACGTCAGACCAGTGTGAGTGACTATTTCCTGTTGAGAATCCTAGCTGGAGTTCTGTGTACATTATACGATCAAAGCCATCGGTCCACACGCATCGAAACCATAACATGTTGACGTGACGATGGACATTGTTCCTCCCAGGCCGAAGGATCCGGCTGCTAACGGTAACGGTACGGGGCGTGGCGGTGTGGAGGTGAAGGCAGTGTGTCACAAGAGGGCGTTATCACAAGAGGACTCGGACGGTGCGAGCGATGCCCTCTCCAAAAACAAACAGAAGAAGAAAGCCAGAAACCCCCACAAGAACTTCTGTCCCGAGCAGAAACGTGAGTTATTTTCCCCTGTCGTACTGCAGTGTCACCTAGTGAGTTATTTTCCCCTGTCGTACTGCAGTGTCACCTAGTGAGTTATTTTCCCCTGTCGTACTGCAGTGTCACCTAGTGAGTTATTTTTCCCCTGTCGTACTGCAGTGTCACCTAGTGAGTTATTTTCCCCTGTCGTACTGCAGTGTCACCTAGTGAGTTATTTTCCCCTGTCGTACTGCAGTGTCACCTAGTGAGTTATTTTCCCCTGTCGTACTGCAGTGTCACCTAGTGAGTTATTTTCCCCTGTCGTACTGCAGTGTCACCTAGTGAGTTATTTTCCCCTGTCGTACTGCAGTGTCACCTAGTGAGTTATTTTCCCCTGTCGTACTGCAGTGTAACCTAGTGAGTTATTTTTATCTGTCGTACTGCAGTGTCACCTAGTGAGTTATTTTCCCCTGTCGTACTGCAGTGTCACCTAGTGAGTTATTTTCCCCTGTCGTACTGCAGTGCCACCTAGTGAGTTATTTTCCCCTGTCGTACTGCAGTGTCACCTAGTGAGTTATTTCCCCTGTCGTACTGCAGTGTCACCTAGTGAGTTATTTTCCCCTGTCGTACTGCAGTGTCACCTAGTGAGTTATTTTCCCCTGTCGTACTGCAGTGTCACCTAGTGAGTTATTTTCCCCTGTCGTACTGCAGTGTCACCTAGTGAGTTATTTTCCCCTGTCGTACTGCAGTGTCACCTAGTGAGTTATTTTCCCCTGTCGTAACTGCAGTGTCACCTAGTGAGTTATTTTCCCCTGTCGTACTGCAGTGTAACCTAGTGAGTTATTTTTCCCTGTCGTACTGCAGTGTCACCTAGTGAGTTATTTTCCCCTGTCGTACTGCAGTGTAACCTAGTGAGTTATTTTCCCTGTCGTACTGCAGTGTCACCTAGTGAGTTATTTTCCCCTGTCGTACTGCAGTGTCACCTAGTGAGTTATTTTCCCCTGTCGTACTGCAGTGTCACCTAGTGAGTTATTTTCCCCTGTCGTACTGCAGTGTAACCTAGTGAGTTATTTTCCCCTGTCGTACTGCAGTGTCACCTAGTGAGTTATTTTCCCCTGTCGTACTGCAGTGTCACCTAGTGAGTTATTTTCCCCTGTCGTACTGCAGTGTCACCTAGTGAGTTATTTTCCCCTGTCGTACTGCAGTGTCACCTAGTGAGTTATTTTCCCCCTGTCGTACTGCAGTGTCACCTAGTGAGTTATTTTCCCCTGTCGTACTGCAGTGTAACCTAGTGAGTTATTTTCCCCTGTCGTACTGCAGTGTCACCTAGTGAGTTATTTTCCCCTGTCGTACTGCAGTGTCACCTAGTGATTATTTTCCCCTGTCGTACTGCAGTGTAACCTAGTGAGTTATTTTCCCCTGTCGTACTGCAGTGTCACCTAGTGAGTTATTTTCCCCTGTCGTACTGCAGTGTCACCTAGTGAGTTATTTTCCCCTGTCGTACTGCAGTGTAACCTAGTGAGTTATTTTCCCCTGTCGTACTGCAGTGTAACCTAGTGAGTTATTTTCCCCTGTCGTACTGCAGTGTAACCTAGTGAGTTATTTTCCCCTGTCGTACTGCAGTGTAACCTAGTGAGTTTTTTTTCCCCTGTCGTACTGCAGTGTAACCTAGTGAGTTATTTTCCCCTGTCGTACTGCAGTGTAACCTAGTGAGTTATTTCCCCTGTCGTACTGCAGTGTAACCTAGTGAGTTATTTTCCCCTGTCGTACTGCAGTGTAACCTAGTGAGTTATTTCCCCTGTCGTACTGCAGTGTCACCTAGTGAGTTATTTTCCCCTGTCGTACTGCAGTGTCACCTAGTGAGTTATTTTCCCCTGTCGTTACTGCAGTGTAACCTAGTGAGTTATTTTCCCCTGTCGTACTGCAGTGTAACCTAGTGAGTTATTTTCCCCTGTCGTACTGCAGTGTAACCTAGTGAGTTATTTTCCCCTGTCGTACTGCAGTGTAACCTAGTGAGTTATTTTCCCCTGTCGTACTGCAGTGTACTAGTGAGTTATTTTCCCCTGTCGTACCTGCAGTGTAACCTAGTGAGTTATTTTCCCCTGTCGTACTGCAGTGTAACCTAGTGAGTTATTTTCCCCTGTCGTACTGCAGTGTAACCTAGTGAGTTATTTCCCCTGTCGTACTGCAGTGTAACCTAGTGAGTTATTTTCCCCTGTCGTACTGCAGTGTAACCTAGTGAGTTTATTTCCCCTGTCGTACTGCAGTGTCACCTAGTGAGTTATTTTCCCCTGTCGTACTGCAGTGTCACCTAGTGAGTTATTTTCCCCCTGTCGTACTGCAGTGTAACCTAGTGAGTTATTTTCCCCTGTCGTACTGCAGTGTAACCTAGTGAGTTATTTCCTGTCGTACTGCAGTGTAACCTAGTGAGTTATTTTCCCCTGTCGTAACTGCAGTGTAACCCTAGTGAGTTATTTTCCCCTGTCGTACTGCAGTGTAACCTAGTGAGTTATTTTCCCCTGTCGTACTGCAGTGTAACCTAGTGAGTTATTTTCCCTGTCGTACTGCAGTGTAACCTAGTGAGTTATTTTCCCCTGTCGTACTGCAGTGTAACCTAGTGAGTTATTTTCCCCTGTCGTACTGCAGTGTAACCTAGTGAGTTATTTTCCCCTGTCGTACTGCAGTGTAACCTAGTGAGTTATTTTCCCCTGTCGTACTGCAGTGTAACCTAGTGAGTTATTTTCCCCTGTCGTACTGCAGTGTAACCTAGTGAGTTATTTTCCCCTGTCGTACTGCAGTGTAACCTAGTGAGTTATTTTCCCCTGTCGTACTGCAGTGTAACCTAGTGAGTTATTTTCCCCTGTCGTACTGCAGTGTAACTAGTGAGTTATTTTCCCCTGTCGTACTGCAGTGTAACCTAGTGAGTTATTTTCCCCTGTCGTACTGCAGTGTAACCTAGTGAGTTATTTTCCCCTGTCGTACTGCAGTGTCACCTAGTGAGTTATTTTCCCCTGTCGTACTGCAGTGTAACCTAGTGAGTTATTTTTCCCTGTCGTACTGCAGTGTAACCTAGTGAGTTATTTCCCCTGTCGTACTGCAGTGTAACCTACGCTCTCTCTCGCTCCATAGTCTAATGCTACAGAATCTACAGAGCCTCGCTCTACACAAACAGTACCGTTGATAACCTCTGTTTTACCCCTGTTTTCTCTGCAGTAAAGTACATCAAGTGTGAGCAGTGTGGAAATCCAAAGGTGAGTGGAGTGACAACCTCTTCACACTGTTACTCATTACCACGTGTAGGATGAAAGGGCGCCGCTCGCCGGATTCCCCAACACAGATGAAGCCTAACCCTGGACTAAAACACGTTCAATGGAGAACCTGCCCTAACTGACCTTGTATAATAGTGTTACATATGCAGGTAAGATTCTTAGGAGCTAGAAGCAGAGCTTCCATGTCTGTCGGCACCATGTTGTACTTCCAAGTCCCTAACCTGTCTCCCCCCTCTCCCTAGGTCCCTAACCCCCTCTCCCTAGGTCCCTAACCCCCTCTCTCCAGGTCCCTAACCCTCTCTCCAGGTCCCTAACCCTCTCTCCAGGTCCCTAACCATCTCTCCAGGTCCCTAACCCCCTCTCCCTAGGTCCCTAACCCCCTCTCCCTAGGTCCCTAACCCCCTCTCCCTAGGTCCCTAACCCGCTCTCCCTAGGTCCCTAACCCGCTCTCCCTAGGTCCCTAACCCGCTATCCCTAGGTCCCTAAACCCGCTCTCCCTAGGTCCCTAACCCGCTCTCCCTAGGTCCCTAACCCCCTCTCCCTAGGTCCCTAACCCGCTCTCCCTAGGTCCCTAACCCCCTTTCCCTAGGTCCCTAACCCCCTTTCCCTAGGTCCCTAACCCCCTTTCCCTAGGTCCCTAACCCCCTCTCTCCAGGTCCCTAACCCTCTCTCCAGGTCCCTAACCCCCTTTCCCTAGGTCCCTAACCCCCTTTCCCTAGGTCCCTAACCCCCTCTCTCCAGGTCCCTAACCCTCTCTCCAGGTCCCTAACCCTCTCTCCAGGTCCCTAACCCTCTCTCCAGGTCCCTAACCATCTCTCCAGGTCCCTAACCCTCTCTCCCGCTCTCCAGGTCCCTAATCCTCTCTCCAGGTCCCTAACCCCCTCTCCCTCGGTTCCTAACCCCCTCTCCCTCGGTTCCTAACCCCCTCTCCCTCGGTTCCTAACCCCCTCTCCCTCTCCCTAGGTCCCTAACCCCCTCTCCCTAGGTCCCTAACCCTCTCTCCAGGTCCCTAACCCCCTCTCCCTCGGTCCCTAACCCCCTCTCCCTAGGTCCCTAACCCCCTCTCCCTAGGTCCCTAACCCCCTCTCCCTAGGTCCCTAACCCTCTCTCCAGGTCCCTAACCCCCTCTCCCTCGGTCCCTAACCCCCTCTCCCTAGGTCCCTAACCCCCTCTCCCTAGGTCCCTAACCCTCTCTCCAGGTCCCTAACCCCCTCTCTCTCTCTCTCTCTGTAGGGTAATAAGTGTGTATTCAACCTGTGTCGAGGCTGCTGTAAGAAGAAGGCCTACAAGGAGGTGGCAGACTGCCCAAGTGAGTCAACACACACATACACACACACACACAGCTGTCTTTCTCAGATATATCATCTGTTTCCTCTCGTCTGGTTCACAGGTCACGGGCTGAGGTTCAAGACTAAGGCAGAGAAACAGAAGGCGGAGGAGGAGGAGGAGGAGGGGAACAGAGGGATAGAGGAAGGAAAGAGTGGAGGATTAGAGGAGGAAGAGAACGGGACCCCCACAGACCACCACAGAGGACAGACAGACTGTGGCCTGAGACATGGACAGACAGGGACATAGACATCCATTCATACATAGAGCAGTACACTCACAGCTGGATGTGAGAAACTTTATCCATCAGCAGGATACAGAGACACTAGAACATGCACATATTGAAAGGCACACACATGTTCATCCATACTCTCTCACCACTGTCCTCCATTGCTGCTGTGATGGACTGGCTGACTGGTTTTATTGGGGTTTCACCACTACACCCTCCTTCTACCTGACTGACTGGGGGAGTCTTCCTGGACTAGCTCCACTGGGACTGATGTAATGGATGGACTCATTTCTCTCTTGGTCTTTTGCATAACAAGTTAGCTTTGAAGTCAATTGGAGATCCTGATTTACTGAGAGGAGGGAAAGATTGAAGTGGCACTTGAAGTCAATGGGAGATTCACCGAAAAAAGTTCAGTTACATGTGGAGCTTTCTAGTTGTATACAGGAAGGAGGAAGAGCTCTTGTTGTAACAGTACTATCCAGTACAGCTCAATCTTTCTTTGTCTTTCGTTGTGGTTAATAATGGGACTCTTTCCTGGTGATCTTTGTCATGTTTCCCCCCCCCCCCCCGAACTAGAATGATGTTTTATCAACAGACTGTTAGAAAAGGGACTCTCTTTGTCTAACAGAAGTCCTGTCAAGTTTTTTTTATATATATCATTTTTTATCAAGCTCCTAGTCTTGTTCTCAGTTGGTAGAGCATGGCGCTTGCAATGCCAGGGTTGTGGGTTCGATTCCCACGGGGGGCCAGTATGAAGAAGAAAAAAAATGTATGCAGTCACTAACTGTAAGTCGCTCTGGATAAGAGCGTCTGCTAAATGACTAAAATGTAAACAATTTTGATGTGTGATGTGTAGGGCCTGGAGTTTTTTTCTTCTTCTGGGCCTGTCTCCAGAAAGCATCTCAGAGTAGGAGTGCTGATCTAGGATCTGCCCATTATAATCATATTCATTATGATCTAAAAGGCGAAACTAATCCCAGATCAGCACTGAGACGCTTAGTGGATACGGGCCCTGGTCCAGCCATGTGGTAAAACACCTGGTCCTTCTGATGTGGATACGGGCCCTGGTCCAGCCATGTGGTAAAACACCTGGTCCTTCTGATGTGGATACGGGCCCTGGTCCAGCCATGTGGTAAAACACCTGGTCCTTCTGATGTGGATACGGGCCCTGGTCCAGCCATGTGGTAAAACACCTGGTCCTTCTGATGTGGATACGGGCCCTGGTCCAGCCATGTGGTAAAACACCTGGTCCAGCCATGTGGTAAAACACCTGGTCCTTCTGATGTGGATACGGGCCCTGGTCCAGCCATGTGGTAAAACACCTGGTCCTTCTGATGTGGATACGGGCCCTGGTCCAGCTATGTGGTAAAACACCTGGTCCTTCTGATGTGGATACGGGCCCTGGTCCAGCCATGTGGTAAAACACCTGGTCCAGCCATGTGGTAAAACACCTGGTCCTTCTGATGTGGATACGGGCCCTGGTCCAGCCATGTGGTAAAACACCTGGTCCTTCTGATGTGGATACGGGCCCTGGTCCAGCCATGTGGTAAAACACCTGGTCCAGCCATGTGGTAAAACACCTGGTCCTTCTGATGTGGATACGGGCCCTGGTCCAGCCATGTGGTAAAACACCTGGTCCTTCTGATGTGGATACGGGCCCTGGTCCAGCCATGTGGTAAAACACCTGGTCCTTCTGATGTGGATACGGGCCCTGGTCCAGCCATGTGGTAAAACACCTGGTCCTTCTGATGTGGATACGGGCCCTGGTCCAGCCATGTGGTAAAACACCTGGTCCTTCTGATGTGGATACGGGCCCTGGTCCAGCCATGTGGTAAAACACCTGGTCCTTCTGATGTGGATACGGGCCCTGGTCCAGCCATGTGGTAAAACACCTGGTCCTTCTGATGTGGATACGGGCCCTGGTCCAGCCATGTGGTAAAACACCTGGTCCTTCTGATGTGGATACGGGCCCTGGTCCAGCCATGTGGTAAAACACCTGGTCCATCTGATGTGTAACAGCCAGGGGTGCGTTAATGACAAGTCGGAAACTTTGAACCTCGAGTTAAAATTAACGTAGGTTATTTGCATAGAGCTTCCTATTGGTTGACTGATTCTGATACTTTCCGTGTGGGAAACTCAGACCTCATCTTTCTACAAGTTTCCAAGTTTTCTTGAACACACCATTACTAGGAACCAAACGGGGCGGGACCTACCTGAATTTGTCCAATAGAAACTCTTGTTTCCGTTGCAAAACGTGTTCCATTGTGAAACGTTTCGCTATGGTGTGCACTAATGAACACGACCCAGCTGAGAACTCAATGCCAAATCACAGGTGGAAACTATTTGCATCACTTCAAAGATTAGATAAATTATATACAGAAAAGTCATATTTGGTTTTAATTTCTCGTTTGTGGTGGTGTTTTATTTATTTTATGATGGTTGTCTGGTTTGGGGGTTGCTTGCATTGAGTTCAGTGCTTTCTGGTGAACATAACTCTTGGCCTATCCAGTCCTATATGAATTTGAGGTTAAAGAAATGGAGGGGAGGGGGAGGGGTAGGGAAGAGAAATTGTGCTCTGATAATCTCTTAGCTATCGTTTCACCATTCATACACAAGCAATAACATCTGCTACATATGGGTATGTGATCAATAAAATGTGAATTGATTTAACAACTTTTGGATATTCTGCTGAATATAAAACTGACACGTCATCTTGTCTTTTTACTGTGGTTTGGGGATTTATTTGGAAATTAAATCTATGGAAAAAATAATCCCCATCTATATCGCATTAGCAGTAGATTCCCATTCCCATTTTGCCAAATGAGGACTTTTATTTTGAAAGTCCTGAATACCGGAAGTTACGTGTTTCTGAAAAGGAAGCCGAAATCCCACTCGGCGTTTTTATAAACAAATTCAGCCAAATTAGAGCAGAAAGGTTTGGTGCACTTTTGGCTAAACATTTTAGCAAAGAAAGTAAAACGTATCAAAATGGATAAAACTAACTGTCCGACATTTGTTGCCCCCGAAATGTCCAAACTACAGTGGTTGAATGTATTCCTCACCGAGCGGCTAACAGCAGCTGCTATGGAGATTTTTGGGGCCGTGGAAAGAAGAAAAAAAAACGATACTCGAGTACCAGGAAGAGATCATCCGTTTGAGACAGGAGAACAGTCGCCTACGGAGTAATAACGCGGTGATCCAACCAGAGAAGTTACCCCCAGACCCCCAGCAGCAGCAGCTCACGGTCTCCGTCTCTGAAGACGTTCTCCTGGACTTGAAGGAGCAGAGCCAGAGGTGGAGCCCCAGTCTGGGGCAGGAGGACCCAGAACCCACACAGAGTCAGACAGAGAAGGAACAGGACCCCAGGACCAGTCAGGAGGAAGCACAGCTACAACAACTGGAGTTTGATATCATATTGACTCCTGTCTATCATGTGGAAAATGGCTTTGAGCAGGAACAACCTCAGCCCTTACACCTTGACCTGCCACAGACTGCTACTCAGATCAAATCAGAAGCTAATGAAGTAAAATGTAATACAGACTGCACTTCATGGGAGAAACTTGGCCAAGATGGGTATAAATATCCTCACACCCAACCATTCCACCAGCTCACCATGGACTTGACAGCCCAGCAACTCCACCAGCTCACCATGGACTTGACAGCCCAGCAACTCCACCAGCTCACCATGGACTTGACAGCCCAGTAACTCCACCAGCTCACCATGGACTTGACAGCCCAGCAACTCCACCAGCTGAGGTATCAAACGCGCAGATCTACAGAGCTGTCATGAATCTGAGCCATATGACGGCTCGGGTGAAAGATGACTTGAACTGTGTGGTTGGAGGTCTAAAATTGGAAATAGGAGGTCTGAAAAAAGAAGTCGGAGGGCTGAAAGAACACGTTGTCTCACTGAGAGACTCTCTTGAAAGAGATGTTCATCAGCTTGGCCCGGTACCGGCTAAGCGGAAGCGGGCCAGAAGCTCGCTAGTAGCAGAAACAGTGAGGCGGCTCCATAATTCCGTGGTGAATCTGGTACACAGATACCAGCCTAAGGATAAAGTAAACTCCCCACACAACAAGATGGTTTCCGCCTATCTGATTAGAGAGGCATCCAAGGAAAGTTTGGGTGTGACTCATGATGTGCTCAGGGCTGCCAGTGTGACCTACTATGAAACAGTCCGGCGGAACTTCCTGATGCAGTTGCCAGAGAACCGTAAGAAGAGTGAAGATACACGCATCGACAAGCGATGGCGCTCGAGGAGGAAGCGGCTGCTGGATTCCAGAACTGCGATGCTCCAGAGTCACGAGGAGAAGGATCTTTGGGAAGGAGTGACATCGGAGTTGATGTCAGATGAGGAAGACACCATGGTGGATGATAAGCTGGTGTGGCTGGTGAAGCCTCCAGCGTTCCGGAGCATGGAGCTGAGTGAGTTGTGTGCGGTGCTCCAGAACAGGCTTGATAAGCACCCAAAGACAAAAGCACTGCCACGCACCCCCCGCCTCCCCAGTGGCTTAATGTCTATGAGGGAGCCTCCAAGGACCTTCCACCAGGACAGACATGCACAGGCAGATTTAATAGAAGAACGCACCCCCTTAATGCCGTCTGCTGGAGACAATCAGCGATTCAATAGCCCTGGAGTGACCCTCTTAACTGTCAAAGAGGAGGAAGAGATGGACTGAAACAGACTTAAAGATTAAAGACGTCCTCCAGTGATTTAACTTTTCGATATCCCAAGCATAAATATAACACACACTAAACTGCTAACTTGTAGAGCATTCAAGAAGCTGTTTTTGCTGAGAGTTGCTTTATTGCGCAACGTTTTTATGTGACAAAGCCTATTCCCCCTCATATCCTCAAAAGGTTCTACAGCTGCACCATCGAGAGCATCCTGACTGGTTGCATCACCGCCTGGTATGGCAACTGCTCGGCCTCCGACCGCAAGGCACTACAGAGGGTAGTGCGTATGGCCCAGTACATCACTGGGGCCAAGCTTCCTGCCTTCCAGGACCTCTATACCAGGCGGTGTCAGAGGAAGGTCCTCAAAATTGCCAAAGACTCCAGCCACCCTAGTCATAGACCAGGGTTCTTCAATTCCGGTCCTTGAGGGCCGAAACACTTGTTTTTTATTTCTACCTGGTAGTTAATTGCACTCACCTGGTGTCCCAGGTCTGAATTGGCCCCTGATTAGAAGGAGAGGATGAAAAACAGAGGTGTTTCGGCCCTCCAGGACCGGAATTGAAGAACCCTGTCATAGACTGTTCTCTCTGCTACCGCACGGCAAGCGGTACCTGAGCGCCAAGTCTAGGTCCAAAATGTTTCTTAACAGCTTCTACCCCCAAGCCATAAGACTCCTGAACAGCTAATCAAATGGCTACCCGGACTTACAATAAAACTGTGTACTGTTGGGGTTACTGGAGGACCAGGGTTGGGAAACGCTGTGCTAAATTACCTAAATGTAAGGGTGGCATCAGGAATCTGTGCCGTTATTGGCAACTTCATCTTAACACCAAAGAAAGAGGAAGTCTAATTTTGTATGTATCTTTATTAAAATCTTGTTCTGTGTCGAGGTTGTGTTTCCCCCCCCCAATGTGTAATCAATGTTTGTCACCAGGTACAGAGCAAAGTGCATCTCTTTACAAAAAACCAGCCAGCTGCATATCTCCCTCTCTTTCATTTCATTTGAGTAACAACAGACATTGTATCTTCACCAACTTAAAACGTTTTTTTTTTATTGTGTTTGTTCCGGTCTTTTCTCCAGCCAGGAATCGTAGGCCCTGGTCAAAAGTAGCTCACTATAGGGAATTGGGTGTCATTCGGGACGGAGACATTGTTTTTTTTCCGCTAACGTTGGGCCCATGTCATACATAGTCTGCCTCCCAAATCTCACCATATTCCCTACATAGTCCACTACTTTTGGCCAGGCTCTGGCTTAGCAGTTGTAGCTTTGACTTGGCCAAAATAAGGGAACTACATAGGGAATAAGATGCTATCTGAGGGCTGTTGTGGACAGGCCCCCCTCTGTTCATTCAGAGGCACCAGGCAGTGGATGTGTCCCAAATGGCACCTTATTCCCTACGTAGTGCACTACTTTTGACCACGGCCCATAAGGGGTAGTGCACTATACAGGGAGCGGAGTGCCATGCCAGACAGCGATGGTGTAATGATGGGATGTCCCTCTCACATGGTGCTGCTCATCCGGGTTGTTTGGCTGTTGGCTGTTGTCAGCTCCCCCTGGCTGCCTTCTCTAGGAGGGGACTAAAGAGGGAAGAGAACAGATGTAGACTTAACGGTGAAACGCTGAGAGAGGGGGATACGTTGTCTCAAGAGGGGGCACAGGTTGATTCAAACGATGGGACACCACCGTACCATCTAAGCTCTTGAAATACATCACTTGATAAATGAAAGTTTTGACAAAAGCAAGAAAAGCACTGACAACATGTTCCAAATCAAACACACTACAGGTGAACTATCCAAGGTTTTCCATACAGAGGGATAAAGAGGAAAGCGCTCCCCAGGGGCCGCTTTCCCAGACATAGATCAAACCTCGTCCTGGACTAAAAAAACTTCAGTGAAGAATATCCACTGCGAATGCTTTTATTCAGGATTTAATGTGGCTTAATTTGTGTCTGGGAAACCGTCCCTAGACCCATCTCAATAGTCTAGACTAGGGTCATATAGTAACAGCTGTGACTAGCATCAAGAGGGGTTCTGTTACCTTGACGTGTATCTGGTTGCGTAGCACGGCAGCTCTGAGGATCATGGCTTTGGCTCGTCTCTGGAACTCCTTGCCCATGTGGACAGACTTCTGAAACGTATGGCCCCTCTGGTCCACGTCCCTCGCATACAGGATCTGACATCACACACATACAGGAAACAGGAAGTTACTCACTCATACTGGAAGTGGAGAGAGACTGATGTGTGTGTGCCTGTAGTGATAGTTGATGTGTAGAGAGAGACTAGTCTATGGCTAGTTTGTGTTACCTTGCTGTGTGAGTCTATACGTGTGTGTGTTACCTTGCTGTGTGAGTCTATACGTGTGTGTGTTACCTTGCTGTGTGAGTCTATATGTGTGTGTGTTACCTTGCTGTGAGTGTGTTACCTTGCTGTGTGTGTGTGTTACCTTGCTGTGTGAGTGTGTTACCTTGCTGTGAGTGTGTTACCTTGCTGTGTGTGTGTGTTACCTTGCTGTGTGAGTGTGTTACCTTGCTGTGTGTGTGTGTGTTACCTTGCTGTGTGAGTCTATACGTGTGTGTGTTACCTTGCTGTGTGAGTCTATATGTGTGTGTGTTACCTTGCTGTGAGTGTGTTACCTTGCTGTGTGTGTGTGTGTTACCTTGCTGTGTGAGTGTGTTACCTTGCTGTGTGTGTGTGTGTTACCTTGCTGTGTGTGTGTGTTACCTTGCTGTGTGAGTGTGTGTTACCTTGCTGTGTGAGTCTATACGTGTGTGTGTTACCTTGCTGTGTGTGTGTGTTACCTTGCTGTGTGTGTGTGTGTTACCTTGCTGTGTGAGTCTATACGTGTGTGTGTTACCTTGCTGTGTGTGTGTGTTACCTTGCTGTGTGTGTGTGTTACCTTGCTGTGTGAGTCTATACGTGTGTGTGTTACCTTGCTGTGTGTGTGTGTTACCTTGCTGTGTGTGTGTGTGTTACCTTGCTGTGTGTGTGTGTGTTACCTTGCTGTGTGTGTGTGTGTTACCTTGCTGTGTGAGTCTATATGTGTGTGTGTTACCTTGCTGTGTGAGTCTATACGTGTGTGTGTGTGTGTGTGTGTGTGTGTGTGTTACCTTGCTGTGTGAGTGTATATGTGTGTGTGTGTGTTACCTTGCTGTGTGAGTCTATACGTGTGTGTGTGTGTGTGGTGTGTGTGTGTGTGTTACCTTGCTGTGTGAGTCTATACGTGTGTGTGTGTGTGTGTGTTACCTTGCTGTGTGAGTCTATACGTGTGTGTGTGTGTTACCTTGCTGTGTGAGTCTATACGTGCGTTGATGAGTCCCTCCAGTATGAGCTGGGTCAGTTCATCCTCCAGAGCTAACACTGTGGTGTTGAAGGACTGGGACATCTTAGTCATGTCTGCAGACACATACGGGCTGAAGTACTGACACACACACACACACACACACACACACACACACACACACCAGGTTAACAACTTGGGCTGAAGTACTGACTCAGAACACAGGTTAACAACATGGGCTGAAGTACTGACTCAGAACACAGGTTAACAACTTGGGCTGAAGTACTGACTCAGAACACAGGTGATGTAGGGATATGAGGGAAAGGAATCCAGATGTAAAACTTCCACAACACTGCAAAGTGACTTAAGTCTACAAGAGGTTGTAGAGGTGCACGTAGGTAGAATGACGGAGGACTAAGAAGGGATTACGAGGAGAAGGAGGGGAGGAGGAAGAGGAAAGAAAGGAGGAGAAAGGAGCTGAGCGAGGAGGAGGAGGAGAGGGAGGCAAGGAGGCAGGAGGAGGGAGGAGGAGAGAGGAGAGGAGAGGAGAGGAGGAAGAGGAGAGGAGAGGAGAGGGAGGAGAGGAGGAGGAGAGAGGAGGAGAGAGGAAGACGAGAGAGGAAGAGGGAGGACGGAGAAGAGAGAGGGAGAGAGAGAGGAGAGAGAGAGAGAGGAGAGAGAGGAGAGGAAGGGAGGAGAGGAGGAGAGAGGGAGGAGAGAGGACAGAGAGAAGGAGGAGACGGGAGGAGAAGGAGGAGGAGAGAGGAGAGGAGGAGGAGAGAGGACGAGGAGGACGGAAGAGGAGCGAGGGAGAGGAGAAGGAGGAGGAGAGAGAGACGAGGGAGAGAGAAGGAGGAGGAGAGAGGAAGAGGGGAGGAGAGGGAGGAGGAGGAAGAGGGAGGAGGAGGAGGAGAGAGACGAGGAGGAGGACGAGAGGAGGAGAGGAGAGAGAGGGACGAGGGGAGGAGGAAGAGGACGAGGAGGACGAGAGAGGAGGAGAGAGGAGAGGACGAGAGGAGGAGGAGGAGAGAGGACGAGAGAGAGGAGGAGGAGAGAGGACGAGAGGAGGAGGAGAGAGGACGAGAGGAGAAGGAGAGAGGACGAGAGAGAAGGAGAGAGGACGAGAGGGAATTGGTGTTAGGTGCACACTCAAATCCCTGTTGTTTCTGACCAACACCAAGACTAATTCAATCAACATTACTGAGTGGCAATATAAAGAGTTTCTCATTCAGATTTTGCAATTAGCCTGTAACTGTCCATATAAAACGGTTTTCTTCCTTAACGTCATCTAGTTAGCCTGTAACTGTCCATATAAACATGTTTTCTTCCTTAAACGTCATCTAGTTAACAGTTTTATATGGACAGTTACAGGCTTTCTTCCTTACCTTCATCTCGTCCAGTAGTTTCAGACAGGAGGCGTACTTCGATTCGTAAAACTTGAAGATTATGTCACGCACCTGGGGCTCCAACTCTAGAAACAACTTAAAGGAACTAGAGAAGAGAGAGAGAGAGAGAGAGGGAAAACAGGGGTTGACATTTCAATATGTACTGAAATCACTCATCACCCAAACAAGCTGTTACTCTCCATAACAGTTCCACTTGATGGAGAGACCAATGAAGCACATTGCTCTTTAACAGAGTTAGCGGTTACCTGAAGTGCACTTCTTACGAGGGTACTACTAAGTCCAGTGCGCACTGCGTAGGGAGCCTACCTGCTGGAGATTATGTTCTTCTGTAGTTCCTGTCTGTCGAAGGTGGCCAGGGCACACATCCCCCCGTACACCGCTACATTACTGGGGGACAGGAGCTGGGGGAGAGGGGACCCACAACATTTTATAACACCAATAATAAAACTCCTAAATCCAAATAAAACTAAAAACATGACATGTACAGTCTGGTCAAAAAAGTTTGCTGCTTCAGTGTTTTTAGATATTTTTGTCAGATGTTACTATGGTATACTGAAGTATAATTACAAGCATTCCATAAGTGTCAAAGGCTTTTATTGACAATTACATTAAGTTTATGCAAAGAGTCAATATTTGCAGTGTTGACCCTTCTTTTTCAAGACCTCTGCAATCCACCCTGGCATGCTGTCAATTAACTTCTGGGCCACATCCTGACTGATGGCAGCCCATTCTTGCATAATCAATGCTTGGAGTTTGTCAGAATTTGTGGGTTTTTGTTTGTCCACCCACCTCTTGAGGATTGACCACAAGTTCTCAATGGGATTAAGGTCTGGGGAATTTCCTGGCCATGGACCCAAAATTTCGATGTTTTGTTCCCCGAGCCACTTAGTTATCACTTTTGCCTTATGGCAAGGTGCTCCATCATGCTGGAAAAGGCCTTGTTCGTCACCAAACTGTTCTTGGATGGTTGCTAGAAGTTGCTCTCAGAGGATGTGTTGGTACCATTCTTTATTCATGGCTGTGTTCTTAGGCAAAATTGTGAGTGAGCCCACTCCCTTGGCTGAGAAGCAACCCCACACATGAATGGTCTCAGGATGCTTTACTGTTGGCATGACACAGGACTGAAGGTAGCGCTCACCTTGTCTTCTCCGGACAAGCTTTTTTCCGGATGCCCCAAACAATCGGAAAGGGGATTCATCAGAGAAAATGACTTTACCCCAGTCCTCAGCAGTCCAATCCCTGTACCTTTTGCAGAATATCAGTCTGTTCCTGATGTTTTTCCTGGAGAGAAGTGGCTTCCTCGCTGCCCTTCTTGACACCAGGCCATCCTCCAAAAGTCTTTGCCTCACTGTGCGTGCAGATGCACTCACACCTGCATGCTGCCATTCCTGAGCAAGCTCTGCACTGGTGGTGCCCTGATCCCGCAGCTGAATCAACTTTAGGAGACGGTCCTGGCGCTTGCTGGACTTTCTTGGGCGCCCTGAAGCCTTCTTCACAACAATTGAACCTCTCTCCTTGAAGTTCTTGATGATCCGATAAATGGTTGATTTAGGTGCAATCTTACTAGCAGCAATATCCTTGCCTGTGAAGCCCTTTTTGTGCAAAGCAATGATGACGGCACGTGTTTCCTTGCAGGTAACTATGGTTAACAGAGGAAGAACAATGATTTCAAGCACCACCCTCCTTTTAAAGCTTCCAGTCTGTTATTCTAACTTAATCAGCATGACAGAGTGATCTCCAGCCTTGTCCTCGTCAACACTCTCACCTGTGTTAACGAGAGAATCACTGACATGATGTCAGCTGGTCCTTTTGTGGCAGGGCTGAAATGCAGTGGAAAAGTTTTTTGGGGATTAACGTTTACGTTTACGTCATTTAGCAGGATCAAGTTCATTTTCATGGCAAAGAGGGACTTTGCAATTCATCTGATCACTCTTCATAACATTCTGGAGTATATGCAAATTGCCATCATAAAAACTGAGGCAGCAGACTTTGCGAAAATTAATTATTTGTGTCATTCTCAAAACCTTTGACCACGACTGTACACAGCAACATCATGGCTCAGATCAGATATGGTGAAGGTACCATACCATTATTATGGAGTGGAGTTGGGGGTGGTCAGAGGAGTTGGGGTTGGGGTCAAGTTAGTTTAGTTGGGGTCAGAGGTAGCGGGGTATATTGATATCTGACCTCTGGGAAGTCGCAGTGGTCAAACGAAGCCTGGAGGAAGCACTTGGCGGCCGGTTTGTACTTTCTAGAGGCCAGCTCTGCCAAACCTGGGGGGGGGGGGGGACGACGACAAGAGAAACATTTGAAAGCGCAACTCACAATTTAAGAATAGGTTTTATTACCTAATGCAGGTCTAAAAAAAGCAATTTCAGCTGACAAGAGAAACATGCAGACTTCAGTGGTCCTCCTGACAGTATAATCCTAGGATAGTATGACGTCTTACCCGCAGCACATTTTAGTTTGGTGAGGACAGATTGGTTCTGACTGTCTCGCTCTCCTCGTTGCTAGAAGAAACAAGCAAGCCGAGGTAAGTCAGTGATTTTCTTTCAGGTGACCATGATGACAGTGTGAAGGTTATATTATGCTCTACTGTACACATAAGGGAATATAAAAGGAGAACATCTGTTGAATAAATTCCCATACTGCTTGAGTTTCTCTCACTAGGGAGCTATGATGTAAAGGTTCTATTTCAGTCATTCGATGCTAACCTCAGCTATCTCCGGAGTGGATTCTGCCTTGCTGACGTAGCTATGTACATGGGACCAGTTCTGGAGGTAAACGCTAACCTAGAGAGAGAGAGAAAAGGTTTGAGAAACCTTCCAGGGATGTTAGGTCAGACAATACACGTTTATAGATTTGACCAAGTCAAATTGACAGAACTTGATGACAAAATATTGACATCTATAAAAGTTGACATGACATTCATAAACATTCATTTAGGAGGCCCCTGTAGCTCAGTTGGTAGAGCATGGCGCTTGCAACGCCAGGGTTGTGGGTTCGTTTCCCACGGGGGGCCAGTATGAAAATGTATGCACTCACTAACTGTAAGTCGCTCTGGATAAGAGCGTCTGCCAAATGACTAAAATGTAAATGTAAGGAGGCGCATGTTGATGAGGTCATAGTACCTTGATGACGTTAAGGCACATGTTGATGACATGCTTGGCGCTAGTGCAGTAGTCTCGGGCTCGACTGTAGCACTTGAGGGCGTTGCTAAGATCTCCACAGTCTAAATAGTGGTCCCCTAGGTCATCATGACCCCGTCTGAACAGAGGGAGGAGAGGGAGGAATCAGTGAGATAAAACCTGTTGAGTAGTGGACTGGTTCCATTTGGGTTTTGAGGCCCTTCCTCCCCCATACCACTGGCTGTGTCCACATTGTCCACCCTTATCCCTAAGTGTGCACTTGTCTTGCACACTCCCTCTCATGCAGTTAAAAGCATTGGAATGGATGTAAACCCAGCAGATTTCATAGGTTCTAGCCATGCATGTTGTCCGAGTTCCATCTCCACTGCTTGTGACCCATGTAACAGTGAAAACAATGTCTACTTGAGTTTCCCCCAGAGCTGGTTACCTGATGCTCTCTTTGATAGAGTTTCCCTTGTAGTTCTTGAGGTCAGTGTCCAGCTTCTCCAGTTTGAGCAGGGCCTTTTTCCTGGTGCTCTCTGCCCAGGCTGTGTCCAGGAGAGGGGGCGCCACCGGCCCTTCAGGCACCGCGTCAGGGACACCCTGCACCTGTCTGGGAATATACAGAGATGGAAGTGTCGTACACACACACGCAGGGTCACACACAGATACACACACACACATACGAAGACAAGCTCACAACACACACAATAATACTCCTCACTGAACCCACAGATACTTTTGTACCTTATATAGGCTCCACTTCAATCTCACACTCCTCCTCCTCCTCACCGTGTGGCGTCGGTGAGTCTGCGGTGGATCTCCTCGTACACGTCTACGTTGAAGGTCCTCTGGACGAAGGACAGCGCCATCTTCAGGGCCTCGGCACGGAGCTGGGGACAGTGTTCTGCTATGAACTGCAGTCTCTCAATACGCATCAGACCACTGTAGCTGGACGCAAACTGCTCCAGGTCCTAGAGAGGGAGACGGGGACAGATGAAAGAGAGAGAGAGAGAAAGCAGTGAGGGGAGGGGGGGGGGGGGGATAGACACAGAGAGAGCGACAGAAAGAGAGACAAAAGAAAGAGAGAGAGAGAGAAAACGGTGTGAAGAAAACATGAAGGAAGCAGACCACCATTTGACAGACTGACTTCATTTAATTCAGTGATCAGCATAGAATCTAGAAGAATCTAGAAGTAGAACTACAAACACACAGCTACGTAAGACTCAGCTCAGCGTACCAGTGCTAGCTTAGTGCTATAGTAATGTACCAGTGCTAGCTTAGTGCTATAGTAATGTACCAGTGCTAGGGCTAGCTTAGTGCTATAGTAATGTACCAAGTGCTTAGGGACTACCATGAGGTGCTAGTATAGTAATGTACCAGTGCTAGGGCTAGCTTAGTGCTATAGTAATGTACCAGTGCTAGGGCTAGCTTAGTGCTATAGTAATGTACCAGTGCTAGGGCTAGCTTAGTGCTATAGTAATGTACCAGTGCTAGGGCTAGTTTAATTGATGCTATAGTAATGTACCAGTGCTAGGGCTAGCTTAGTGCTATAGTAATGTACCAGTGCTAGGGCTAGCTTAGTGCTATAGTAATGTACCAGTGCTAGCTTAGTGCTATAGTAATGTACCAGTGCTAGGGCTAGCTTAGTGCTATAGTAATGTACCAGTGCTAGGGCTAGCTTAGTGCTATAGTAATGTACCAGTGCTAGGGCTAGCTTAGTGCTATAGTAATGTACCAGTGCTAGGACTAGCTTAGTGCTATAGTAATGTACCAGTGCTAGGGCTAGCTTAGTGCTATAGTAATGTACCAGTGCTAGGGCTAGCTTAGTGCTATTAATTTTTTTTGTGGTAATGGTACCAGTGCTAGGCTTAGTGCTTATAGTAATGTACCAGTGCTAGGGCTAGTCTTAGTGCTATTAAGTCTAATGTTACCAGTGCTAGGGGCTAGCTTAGTGCTTTATAGTAATGTACCAGTGCTAGGGCTAGCTTAGTGCTATAGTAATGTACCAGTGATAGCTTAGTGCTATAGTAATGTACCCGTGCTAGGCTAGCTTAGTTGCTATAGTAATTGTACCAGTGCTCTAGGGCTAGCTTAGTGCTATAGTAATTACCAGTTGCTTAGGGCTAGCTTAGTGCTTTAAGTAATGTACCAGGCTAGGGCCTAGCTTAGTGCTATTCTGTAATGTACCAGTGCTAGGGCTACGCTTAGTGCTATAGTAATGTACGGAGTGCGTAGGGCTAGTTAGTTTGCTTAGTAATGTTACCAGTGCTGGGCTAGCTTAGTGCTATAGTAATGTTTACCAGTGCTAGGGCTAGCTTAGTGCTATAGTAATGTACCAGTGCTAGGCTAGCTTAGTGCTATAGTAATGTACCAGTGCTAGGGCTAGCTTAGTGCTATAGTAATGTACCAGTGCTAGGGCTAGCTTAGTGCTATAGTAATGTACCAGTGCTAGGGCTAGCTTAGTGCTATAGTAATGTACCAGTGCTAGGGCTAGCTTAGTGCTATAGTAATGTACCAGTGCTAGGGCTAGCTTAGTGCTATAGTAATGTACCAGTGCTAGGACTTTGCTTAGTGCTATAGTAATGTACCAGTGCTAGGGCTAGCTTAGTGCTATAGTAATGTACCAGTGCTAGGGCTAGCTTAGTGCTATAGTAATGTACCAGTGCTAGCTTAGTGCTATAGTAATGTACCAGTGCTAGGGCTAGCTTAGTGCTATAGTAATGTACCAGTGCTAGGGCTAGCTTAGTGCTATAGTATGTACCAGTGCTAGGGCTAGCTTAGTGCTATAGTAATGTACCAGTGCGGCTAGCTTAGTGCTATAGTAATGTACCAGTGCTAGGGCAGCTTAGTGCTATAGTAATACCAGTCTAGGTAGCTTAGTGCTATAGTAATGTACCAGTGCTGGGTAGCTAGTGCTATAGTAATGTACCAGTGCTAGCTAGTGCTATAGTAAGTACCAGTGCTAGGGCTAGCTTAGTGCTATAGTAATGTACCAGTGCTAGGGCTAGCTTAGTGCTATAGTAATGTACCAGTGCTAGGGCTAGCTTAGTGCTATAGTAATGTACCAGTGCTAGGGCTAGCTTAGTGCTATAGTAATGTACCAGTGCTAGGGCTAGCTTAGTGCTATAGTAATTACCAGTGCTAGGGCTAGCTTAGTGCTATAGTAATGTACCAGTGCTAGGGCTAGCTTAGTGCTATAGTAATGTACCAGTGTGGGGTTTTCCACCACATAGTTGATGTCTGGAGCATTCTGCTGGTCTTCCTGGGGGTCAGCATCGATCTGCATCGGCTCCACAGCCCCCTGGAGGAGAGAGAGGGATGGAAGGGAGGGGGACAGAGAGACAGAGAGAGGAGAGAGAGAAGGTGTGATGAAGAGAGAGAGGGGGTTAACCTCTAAAAGTCTAAGGTCGATGTCCGCGCCCCGCTGAAATCGAATTAGCAAAAATTACCATAAAAATCCATAAATTTAATCTAGAGTTTTTCTGGGGGGCATTGGATGCGTTTCAATCCACCGCATTCACCTATGTAACACTTTCGCATCTGCGGTGACAGGTGGCAGAGCTAGAGCGGTGTTTGTCAGACCATGAGACATCCCAAAAATATGTCTTCTCACAAAATTGTCTGTAGCGTCCGAACGGTTTAGCCTACAAATTATGATGACCCCTCTATGGAAAGACGACTAACGAACGCGGTGTTCTCCGTTTTGCTCTACGACCCCCCACAAGTGTCTTGGGACTCATCTGAAGTTGGTACAGCCGATCTGCCAACTGCCTGCAGCGTGCAAACCGTTTGGGCTACACTCTAATATGACCCCTCTGTGTAAGGGTGAGACTCTCACGAACATGTGGGTTGTTTTGCTATAGGACGCCCACAGGCCTCACAAGACTTGTCTGAAGGTCCCTCGGTACCAGTTGAAAAAAATTAATGGAAGTATAGAGACTGGATTAGTGCCAAAAATAAGGGATTAAATACAGTTGAAGTCGGAAGTTTACATACACTTAGGTTGGTGTCATTAAAACTCATTTTTCAACCACTCCACACATTTCTTGTTAACAAACTATAGTTTTGGCAAGTCGGTTAGGACATCTACTTTGTGCAAGACACAAGTAATTTTTGGATATATAATTATGTGGATATATTGAAGCAACATCTCAAGACATCAGTCAGAAAGTTAAAGCTTGGTCGCAAATGGGTCTTCCAAATGAACAATGACCCCAAGCATACTTCCAAAGTTGTGGCAAAATGGCTTAAGGACAACAAAGTCAAGGTATTGGAGTGGCCACCACAAAGCCCTGTCCTCAGTCTATAGAAAAATGTAGGTAAAACTGAAAAAAGAAAGGAGACATATAAACCTGACTCAGTTACACCAGCTCTGTCAGGAGGAATGGGCCAAAATTCACCCAACTTATTGTGGGAAGCTTGTGGAAGGCTACCCGAAACGTTTGACCCAAGTTAAACAATTTAAAGGCAATGCTACCAAATACTAATTGAGTGTATGTAAACTTCTGACCCACTGGGAATGTGATGAAATAAATAAAAGCTTAAATAAATCATTCTCTCTAAAATCATTCTGACATTTCACATTCTTAAAATAAAGTGGTGATCCTAACTGACCTAAGACAGGGAATTTCAACTAGGATTAAATGTCAGGAATTGTGAAAAACTGAGTTTAATTGTATTTGGCTAAGGTGTATGTAAACTTCCGACTTCAACTGTACATCTCTCAGATATAGGACAGAAACTTCAGAACAAACTTCCTTTAGATTTTTTGGGGGGACTATCCATAGTGAATCTGTTATTCAATGTGTTTGTATGGTCTAATAGCAGTAAGGCCAAAAATATTTTTAGTCATATTTTTTGGGGGGGAATACTTCAAGGGGTCTTGAAATTCTAAATCAAATAGCAAAATGATCCTTGGTACGACCTTAAAACAATTCCACATAGCAGAGCTTTGCTCTGTCTTGCACTGGTGGTCCCTACCTCAGGGAGCAGGGAGCATGCTGAGAGGCTGGAGCTGAGAACGTAGTCCCCTGCAGTGAACGGTAAGAGCAGATTGGGTCTGCTGCTATGGGAGGGACAGGGAGGCTCTGAGGCTGAGCTAGAGGCCCTACTCTTCTCCCTGTCTCTTTCGCTGTCCTGAGCCTGTGCTTGTTCTGCCCCTACGGCAACCTCCAGCTCTGACACTGAGCTGACCTGGAGGAGGGAGGCGGGGGGGGGGGGGGGGGGGGGGGGAAGGAGTGATGAAGAGGAGTGATTTCTGTCCTTGATGACTTAAAGCACTCTGCATGATAAGTGATGTTAGTTAGTTAGCCAGACCTCTGACCACATAAGCTGGATGTACTTTGGGGCAGTTTAATAAACTACATGACCAAAAGTATGTGGACACCTGCTCGTCGAACAGCTCATTCCAAAATCATGGGCATTAACATAGAGTTGGTCCCCCCTTTGCTGCTATAACAGCCTCCACTCTTCTGGGAAGACTTTCCACTAGACTGGTCATTCAACTGAGACTGCTCTTCTCTGTGTCACGGAGGCTCTCCGCACTGCTAAAGCTAACTCTCTCTCCTCTGCTCTTATCCTTCTAGACCCACCTGCTGCCTTTGATACTGTGAACCATCAGATCCTCCTCTCCACCCTCTCCGAGTTGGGCATCTCCGGCGCTGCTCACTCTTGGATTGCGTCCTACCTGACAGGTCGCTCCTACCAGGTGGAGTGGCGAGAATCTGTCTCCGCACCACGTGCTCTCACCACTGGTGTACCCCAGGGCTCAGTTCTAGGCCCTCTCCTATTCTCTATATACACCAAGTCACTTGGCTCTGTCATATCCTCACATGGTCTCTCCTATCATTGCTACGCAGACGACACACAATTAATTTTCTCCTTTCCCCCTTCTGATAACCAAGTGGCGAATCGCATCTCTGCATGTCTGGCAGACATATCAGTGTGGATGTCGGATCACCACCTCAAGCTGAACCTCGGCAAGACGGAGCTGCTCTTCCTCCCGGGGAAGGACTGCCCGCTCCATGATCTCGCCATCACGGTTGACAACTCCATTGTGTCCTCCTCCCAGAGTGCAAAGAACCTTGGCGTGACCCTGGACAACACCCTGTCGTTCTCCGCTAACATCAAAGCGGTGACCCGATCCTGCAGGTTCATGCTCTACAACATTCGCAGAGTACGACCCTACCTTACACAGAAAGCGGCACAGGTCCTAATCCAGGCACTTGTCATCTCCCGTCTGGATTACTGCAACTCGCTGTTCGCTGGGCTCCCTGCCTGTGCCATTAAACCCCTACAACTTATCGTGTTCAACCTTCCCAAGTTCTCTCATGTCACCCCGCTCCTACGCACACTCCACTGGCTTCCTGTTGAAGCTCGCATCTACTACAAAACCAGGGTGCTTGCCTACGGAGCTGTAAGGGGAACGGCACCTCCTTACCTTCAGGCTCTGATCAGACCCTACACCCAAACGAGGGCACTACGTTCATCCACCTCTGGCCTGCTAGCCCCCCTACCTCTACGGAAGCACAGTTCCCGCTCAGCCCAGTCAAAGCTATTCGCTGCTCTGGCACCCCAATGGTGGAACAAGCTCCCCACGACAGCGGAGTCACTGACCACCTTCCGGAGACACTTGAAACCCTACCTCTTTAAGGAATACCTGTAATAGTCTAACAGTAATCCTTCTACACCCCCCCTCCCCCAGTGGTGGTTGTCCCACTGGCTATCCTAAGTTGAATGCACCAATTTGTAAGTCTGCTAAATGACTTAAATGTAAAAATGTAAATGTAGATGTTGGAACATTGCTACAGGGCCCCGCTTCCATTCAGCCACAAGAGCATTAGTGAGGTCGGGCACTGATGTTGGGCGATTAGGCCTGGCTCGTGGTCGGCGATCCAATTCATCCCAAAGGAATTTGATGGGGTTCTTCCACACCGATCTCGACAAACCATTTCTGTATGGACCTCGCTTTGTGCACGGGAGCATTGTCATGCTGAAACAGGAAAGGCCTTCCCCAAACTGTTGCCACAAAGTTGAAAGCACAGAATCGTTTACATTTTTTAAACATTTTAGTCATTTAGCAGACGCTCTTATCTAGAGCGACTTACAGTTAGTGAGTGCATACATTTTTCATATTTTTTTTTAGAATGTCATTGTATGCTGTAGCGTTAAGATTTCCCTTCACTGGAACTAAGGGGCCTAGCCCAAACCATGAAAAACAGCCCCAGACCATTATTCCTCCTCCACCAAACTTTACAGTTGGCACTATGCATTGGGGCAGGTAGCGTTCTCCTGGCATCCGCCAAGCCTAGATTTGTCCGCCGGACTGCCAGAAGGTGAAGCGTGATTCATCACTCCAGAGAACACGTTTCCACTGTTCCAGATTCCAATGGCGGTGAGCTTTACACCACTCCAGCCGACGCTTGGCATTGCGCATGATGATCTTGGTGTGCGGCTGCGCCGCCATGGAAACCCATTTCATGAAGCTCCCGACTAACAGTTCTTGTGCTGACGTTGCTTCCAGAGGCAGTTTGGAACTCGGTAGTGAGTGTTGCAACAGAGGACAGACAATTTTTACACACTACGTGCTTCAGAAATCAGTGGTCCTGTTCTGTGAACTTGTGTGGCCTACCACTTCGTGGCTGAGCCGTTGTTGCTCCTAGACGTTTCCACTTCACAATAACAGCACTTACAGTTGACCGGGGCAGCTCTAGCAGGGCAGAAATTTGACGAAATGACTTGTTGGAAAGGTGGCATCCTATGACGGTGCCACGTTGAAAGTCACTAAGCTCTTCAGTACGGGCCATTCCACTGCCAATGTTTGTCTATAGAGATTGCATGGCTGTGTGCTCAATTTTATACACCTGTCAGCAACAGCGTGGCTGAAATAGCCGAATCCACTAATTTGAAGGGGTGTCCACATACTTTGGGTGCTGTATCAACAAGGTGGGTCACGTGAATGGGTGGAAGAAGCAAGGTCTGAGGCGTTTAAGAAAATTGGAAGTCCTGCTTCTTGCATAAAAGGGATGCCAATTAATGTGTTGTCTCTAAATGAACAGTACCTAAACTGAACTGAAGCGGTTGGTGACAGGTTTCAGGGTGATAGTAACTTCTGCCAATCCGGTGGATATTGTTTACCTAGCTAGCTAACGTTAGCTAGCTGATCATAACAGACAATTTATGAATTGTTTCCATGGCCGTCTTCTCTAGCTAGCTACATTTTTATTTAGCTAGCTAAATAGCTTGCATTTTAGGTGGCTACGCTGTTTGACACAGATGTAGCTATGCTGGTAAGGAATTACTAACGGCAGTCAGGTTTTAAAAAGTTAGCAAACTACAGTAACGACTCAAACTGTCGGTTTACATTTTCTATAACTAACTGAGCTAAATTACACCTGTTATTTTTTTAATCCGCCGACTCCCCTTCACAATTTACCTAACTAGTTAGCTATATCTATCAAACAAACTGAAGATGTATAATCTATAATAAATAAAAAACCTAGTTCAATCCGCCCTAACGCTAAAGTTAGGACTAACTTGATGTTTGATTAAGGCCCTAGCCTAGCTTCTTAGCTAACGTTAGCTAGCAAGATTAGCATGTTAGCTAACGCTAGTTGAAAACACTTTATCAGAGGACCAAATAGATAAATTCAATCAAAACAAGGCAAACCATAAAATATAGTCATTCAAACGTGTTCCCAGTTATATAAACTGTTGAAAACAAGTTTTCAAAACACAAGTTTACCTGAAAGTTAAAGACCTGCACGGGCAGAGGCATCTCCTTCTCTGCAGACACACACAATAATCACATCCGGGGTATGGGAGTGCAACTTGTATCTAAGTCCCTGTGGAGCAAAAGTCACTACCTAAAATCAAAATATGGCAAGCTGGACAAACCCAATTTTGGCACTGTTATGAAACATTTTAATACCCACAGTCATACATTATCATGCCTAGTATATAAAGCCTAGTATATCAAGTATTTTTTTATTTTATTTAACCTTTATTTAATGGGTTAAGTACTTAACCCATTCATAGACGCTAACTGTGCAGCACTGATGAGTTTAAATTCATGTGTCTCTCAGAGCAGACAGGATGATTGTATTGTATGAGGTTTTGCAGTACTTGCTTGTATAGAGTGAAACAGATGGGGATATTTGTTATGTTCCTCTGGGTACCAGCTCACGTGGGAGTAGAGGGGAATGAGGAAGTGGATATTATTGCCAAGCAGGCTCTTAAACATCCTAATGTTGAGATGGAATTGTCAATCAGTAAAGCAGAAGCCAAGGGATTAATAAGAACAGTGGTTAAAAATAAGTGGCAAGAGTTGTGGAACAGGGAGAGAAAATAAATGCACTGTTGGTTAAGGGCTGTAAGTAAGCATTTCACTGTAATGTCTGCACCTGTTGTATTCGGCGCATGTGACCAATAAAATTTGATTTGATTTGATTTGATTTGATTTGAAAGGGAAGACGCCTGTATAAGATCCAGGAAAAGATGGGGGCAGGGAGGTCCTCAGGCCGAGAGAGAAGGGATGAATGTGTAGTCACAAGGCTGAGACTGGGACACACAAGGCTAAATAGTACATTGAAAGTGGTGGGGAAACATTCGACTGGGAGGTGTGATCATTGTCAGGAGGAGATGGAGACAGTGGAACATGTTCTATTTCAGTGCCAGAAATATGTGAGAGAAAGGGGGCGATTGTTATTAGATTTGAGGAGTAATGGGGTTGAAGAGCCAGGATTAAGTGAACTGCTGGGGAAATCTTTAGGAAATGTAGTATTTAATTATGTATTTCGTTTCCTTAGGGAGACGAGATTATTGGGTAGGATTTAGACCTTCACTGTCTCTGGTCCACACTCCAGTCCAGTTGGTGGCGGTAATGCACCTTAAAGTTGATTGTCAACCGCCATATAAAATCCACAGAAGAAGAAGACGCTAACTGCTTTCGCGCCTATTGATGATAGATAGTATCTTCTGGCTGGGGGAGTTTGATTATCATCCCCAACGCTCGTTCTGAACATTAAAACACATCGCTTGCGGTACAGTTTTGGAAACATAAGTAGTGTGTCTTTCATATCAGCGAGAAATAATTTTCAAAAAACAAAAAGGTACAATCAGGACACACCTTCATAGGTCTAATTAGGGTTAGTGTTCCCACACGGTCATATCTCCATTTTATATCGCTTATTCACGGAAGACAGACTAGTGTGCTCCGAACACCTGTGTGTAAGTGTAACTGGGGAGGAAGTGTAGTTTGTCAACTGGAGGCACACACAGTTTATGGATCTGTGCAAACTGCTACAGCATGTGTATATTTTTTGGGGAAAATATTATTTCTCGCTGATGTGAACGATAAGGGGCATATCAGCATATGTTTCGGAAACCGTTTTGCAAGTGATGATTATTTACATTTCTAAATGTTAAAACACAGCGTCGGAATTGTAGTTCACACGCAGCCAACCGTGGGCGAAGCTAACTGCTGAAAACCCTACGGATAATAAGAAGGGTTTTCAAGAGTTGAACAAAAATATATAAACTCAACATGCAACAATTTCATTGATTTTACTGAGTTACAGTTCATATGAGGAAATCAGTCAATTGAAATAAATAAATTAGGCCCTAATATATGATTTTACATGACTGGGAATACAGATATGCATCTGCCTTACACAGGAAGCGGCGCAGGTCCTGGTCCAGGCACTTGTCATCTCCCGTCTGGACTACTGCAACTCGCTGTTGGCTGGGCTCCCTGCCTGTGCCATTAAACCCCTACAACTCATCCATAATGCCGCAGCCCGTCTGGTGTTCAACCTTCCCAAGTTCTCTCACGTCACCCCCCTCCTCCGCACACTCCACTGGCTTCCAGTTGAAGCTCGCATCCGCTACAAGACCATGGTGCTTGCCTACGGAGCTGTGAGGGGAACGGCACCTCTGTACCTTCAGGCTCTGATCAGTCCCTACACCCAAACGAGGGCATTGCGTTCATCCACCTCTGGCCTGCTGGCTCCCCTACCTCTGCGGAAGCATAGCTCCCGCTCAGCCCAGTCAAAACTGTTCGCTGCTCTGGCACCCCAATGGTGGAACAAGCTCCCTCACGTCGCCAGGACAGCGGAGTCACTCACCACCTTCCGGAGACATTTGAAACCCCACCTCTTTAAGGAATACCTGGGATAGGATAAAGTATTCCTTTTAACCCCCCCCCCCCCCCCCAAATTGTAAAGTGGTTATCCCACTGGCTATAGGGTGAACGCACCAATTTGTGAGTCGCTCTGGCTAAGAGCGTCTGCTAAATGACGTTAATGTGCCCTTGAGCAAGGCACTTAACCCTAATTGCTCCTGTAAGTCGCTCTGGTTAAGAGCGTCTGCTAAATGACTAAAATGTAAATGTAAAATACCTTTAATGGTTCCTAGGATCTGGTCACTGTATTTTTGTGCATTAAAATTGCCATTGATAAAATGTAATTGTGTTCTTTGTCCGTAGCTTATGCCTGCCCATACCATAACCCCACCGCCACCATGGGGCACTCTGTTCACATCGTTGACATCAGCAAACCGCTCGCCCACACGACGCCATACACGTGGTCTGCGGTTGTGAGGCCTGATGGTAAATAAATTAACATTAAATTCTCTGGCAACAGCTCTGGTGGACATTCCTGTGGTCAGCATGCCAATTGCAATACTTATTTTCCACCATAATTTGCAAATTAATTAATTAAAAATCCTACAATGTGATTTTCTGGATTATTTTTTCTCATTTTGTCTGTCATAGTTGACGTGTACCTATGATGAAAATTACAGGCCTCTCTCATCTTTTTAAGTGGGAGAACTTGCACAATTGGTGGCTGACTAAATACTTTTTCCCCCCACTGTACCTTTAATGGTTCCTAGGATCTGGTCACTGTATTTTTGTGCGCATGGAAAGTTTCTGGGATCTTTTATTTCAGCTCATGAAACATGGGACCAACACTTTACATGTTGCATTTATATTTTTTGTTCAGTGTATATATAAAGCTTAGTACTTGTTAGTGTTCACTAATACAATCACTTTTTTAATCAAATGTTCAGTGAAGAGGTTTCTTTTGGCAAATTAAAACAGGGGTGTATTCATTCCACCAATTCTGTTGCCCAACTGAATGTTTTGCAACTGTTTGGAGTTTCTATTGGACAAGTTCAGGTAAGTCTCTCCACATTTTGTGACGTTTGCTTCCGTTTAAGAAATATTTTGCAACAGAATCGGCGTAATGAATACACCCCATGTCATCAAAAACAGACGGTTCCTTTTTTCCTGTTAAATGTTACACTTGTTGTTTTTGTTTTGATTTGTTCCTTAAAACAAAGTTCAGTAGATTATCACTGATGCAACAACACAGAAGCATGATGCGGGTAAAAACAAAACAAAAATACCACTGGTAAAATAAAAACACTTACAAAGAAACATCTCTCACACTCACCCTCTCTTTCACTCTCTCCCTCTACCCCCCCCCCCCCTCCTTCTACCCCTCTTTCTCTCTCTTCCCCTCTCTCCTCTCTCTCCCCCTACTTCTCTCCCTCTACCCCCCTCTCTTTCTCTCTCCCTCTACCCCTCTCTCTCGCGCTCCCCTCTACCCCCCTCTTTCGCTCTCTCCCTCTACCCCCTCTCTCCAGAGATTACTGCTGATGACAGGAGGGCTTCAGAGCATCATCTCTCATATGATTAGAGCAAACTATCAAAAGATGGAAAACTGAAAGCCCAAGGTAATTGGGGCTGCAGACAGACATCGTCCTCTGACACCGGTGCGCAGTGCTCTGACACCTCTCTGTCAAGCTCTGCCACCTCAGCCTGACGTTTCCTTTTCAATTTTGCTTTGGTGTTTTTGCCGGGCTCTCTCGTACTCTGCAGTTCCTCCCGCTTCCTCTTTCTCTCCTGCTCCTCCTCCTCCTTAGCCTCCTGTTGATGAAGGAGTTTGTTGTACTCGTCGCTTGTGAAGACGCGGGCCGGCAGGAGTCGACGCTTCACTTTCTGCCGGTTAAATGTTTGGAAGACAGGGGGCACCAGGACATTGGTCAGGTCTGGGGAGACGAGCCCTGCAGCCACCAGAGGGTTTGTGGGTGGGACACGCTGTCCACAGGTCGGACAGCAGCCACCAGGGACAAGAGACTGGGTCGCTGCTGGGGTTGTGGGTGTTGCTGGCGTTGTGGGGGCCTCTGCTGCTCTGGGGTCGGGGTTCCCTGCAGTGGCCTCTGAGGTTGCTGCTTTGAGGTTGGGGGTGGTTGGCAACAGCTTCACCTGCTGGCTGGAGTAAAAGGCCTCTCTGTTGAGCGGGAAAATCCCTGCCTTCTTGAACACAGCCATGATGTTTTTCTTAGTGACCGCCTGGGGGTAGGCCTCTCGCAGCATGCCGGAGAAGTGCTTCTTGCCGGTGACAAGATCACCCCGCACCAGGCCCAGATGTGCAGCATTCCTGCTGAACACAGTCTTCAGCGGGCCAAAGACGCTGATGTCCAATGGCTGCAACACGTGGGTGGTATTCGCCGGCAGGCAGACCACCTCCACCTGATTTTCCCGGCAAAACCTGACCACCTCCCTGGACACATGGGTTTTGTGTTGGTCCAATACGAGCACCAGGGGCCTCTCCTTTGGGGCGTGCTTCACGAAGAAGACCAGCCACTTCAGGAAGAGTTCTGCATCCATGTAGCCTTTAGGGGACACCCCATATAGGGCCTTCGGTGGACCCTCGAGCGCGTAGGCCGTACTGGGGAGGCACTTGTGGAAGATTATGAAGGGCGGTATACTCTCACCAGCTGCACTCACACAGTAGTGCACGGTAATACGTTCCATAGTGTTGTGTTGCTGCTGTTGATAGATGCGTTTCCTGCCTTTTTGACAGAGAACTTTCTCCCTGGACTTGGGCTTGTCCGCAAACCCCGTCTCATCGCAGTTGAAGATGAGGTGCGGCTTGTGTTCTAAGCCGTGGCTGACGAAGATAGGCTCGTAGACATCAAAGAAGCCCTTGATGGTGGCAGGAGTAGCACCATGTACCCTGGCCCGGTTGAGAGTGTTGGGAACCCTGGCGCTCAGTTCAGGGTGGCGAGCCCTGAATCTAGACCACCAGTTGTCACTCAGTCCCCTCTCCAAATTGACGATGGTGCTACGGCCACTCTCCTTTATAATGGCCACAACCAGAGCCTTCACCACAGTCCTGCTGATAGGAAAGGCATGGTCGGCCATCCAGAGAATATAAGATATAAGGGAGTGCTCTTCCTCTATGGTTATTGCCAGGTTGGGGTGAGGGGCAAAGGCATATTTGTTATTTTTGTAATCTTGGAGAGTGGTGTGAGGAATCCCTGACTCACGGGCAACTTCCCTAAGGCTTATTCCAGTTTTTACTTTCTCTACAGCTTTCTCTAGCGCCTCCCTGGAGTATTGTCGCCTTTTTGTTGGTCTCATCTTTCCCTGTCCTCTTTCCTTTCTGCTTCCATTTCCTGACATTATTTCCTTTCAAAATAAAATTAGTTTTGTTTAACGTTATTTATGAAACAAAGGGAAGATTTCTAAGCTAATAAAAACGCATAATTACCTTCGCCTTAGTTGAACCGAAAGAAAAGTCTAAACAGAGATCACGCACCGATTATACAAACGGTGCGCCGCGAAAACAGTTTGAAAACACAAGTTGCCCAAAGTCACTTCCGGGTCACGAAATTGTAACATTTCCCCGATGTCATAGTAGAAAAGGGTTAAAAAAAACACATGTATTTATGATTTATGAAAAACATGTCTATTTATTAACAATGATTCATATGTGTTTATATTTAAGTGATATTTTGGTTGTAAAAATGTTCCATGGTTAAATAAAGATTAACACATTACTGTATACAGTGAGCTGATACAAAACATATTGTGTGTCCATAAAACCATAGTTCAGTCTACTCAATAGAGTCCACAGTATCCAAAAACGAGTGAGTTTAAACATAAAGCTGTATCATAGGATATATATTTCACATTTATTTTTACTACCATAATTTACCAGCAGGGGGAGGTTACTGTAATCTGAGATATATATATAGGTTGCTGTAATGCGCTACAGTGCTGTTGAGTGAAAACCAGAACCAATACTGCAACACCAGATGGCTACATTAGCACATCATCATCATCATCACCATCAACACCAACACCATCAACACCAACACCAACACCATCACCATCTCACCATCAACACCATCACCATCATCACCATCATCATCATCACCATCACCATCACCATCATCATTACCATCATCATCATCACCATCAACACCAACACCATCAACACCATCACCATCATCACCATCTCACCATCACCATCATCACCATCATCACCATCATCATCATCATCACCATCACCATCACCATCATCATTACCATCAACACCAACAACCATCAACACCATCACCATCATCACCATCAACACCAACACCATCATCATAACCATCACCATCACCATCATCACAAGCACAACAAAGAAAAACGGAGCTACAGCTATTTTGATTTGATACTTTCAAATATGTTTATTTATTAATACCTTTTTAAAAATCACTTTATACACATGTTTAATGAAGAGGTTTAGTTTGGTAACATTAAAGCAGGTATTACAAAAAGACAGTTCTTTTTTTGTGTTAAATGCTTGATCTTTGTTGTTTAGAGTTGTTCCTTAATCAAAGTTCAGTAGATTATCACTGATGCAACACAGAAGCATGATGCGGGTTAATTAAACACACACACACACACACACCACACACCACACACACACACACCACACACACACACACACACACCACACACACACACACACACACACACACACACACACACACACACACACACACACACACACACACACACACACACACACACACACACAGAGAGAGAGAGGGAGAGAAAAATACAGATGTTCAAACAGCCTAAAAACATATTAAGAACGCATGTCCTCTTGGGAGCCTTTAAAGTAGATAGGATGTATCCCAAATGGCAACCTATTTCCTATATAGTGCACTACTTTGAAACAGTGTCCATAAATACATATACAGGTAATCGGGTACCATTGGAGACACCCCCTTACTTAAGTAGTCTGGGTTCTGCAGCGAGAGAGAGAGAGCTTGTCACGATTTGGCATGCTAGTTCAACAAAAAAACCAGTCTTCGCTATGGCACATTGTCAACCTTTTCCCCCTTTAGTGGGTTTCAAATGGAGCATTTAAACTGACGCTGAATAACTGCCAAGCAGGGACAAAGGAAGGAAAGAACAAGGTCTCGTTGTTCTGTGCAAACTGGCATCCTGGCTGGAAGATCATTCCTTTGGCCTGTGTGTCTCAAGAGTCTCGGAAATAAGAGCGCTGATCTGGAATCAGTTTAGTATTTTACATTATAATGAATAAGATTGTATGGGCAGGGGGGAACTGATCTTAGATCAGTACTCCTACTCTGAGAGGCTTTGTGAATCCGGGCCCTGGTCCCCAGGTAGGAGAGTTCCCATCAGTAGATACATTAACGTTAAGAGTGGAACATTCAAGACGGCAGGGAGCTTTTATCAATGACTACAATTTTGGTTTGCACTTGCAGGACATGAAGAAACTAAAACATTAAAAAAAAAAAACACATAAAATAAATACAAATAAATAAAATAACACGTTTTAAGGAAACAAATCATATTTCACATTGGACACAGAGGCCAGTTATTATGGGTAAGAGTTGTTCCTGACCATGTGACCTGACCTGGCCAGTAAAATCACCTGTGTGTGTGTGTGTGTGTGAGTTCTGTATTGGGTCTTATAAAGGAAAGAAGCTTAGCTGATCAGGATAGTAGCAGATTTACAACCCATTATGGTTGTTCTTCCATCGCCATCTAGAATGACCTCTCTCTGAGACACTGACCCGCTGAATTTACCCAATTGATTTAAGGCATAGGTCACACAGAATGGATGTAAAAGTCCTAAAAGTGGAGTTCAATTAATTGTGCCTTAGTCAATGTCCCGAATGTCACCCTATTCCCAACAGGCCCTGGTCAAAAGAAGTGCACTATTTAAGGAATCGGGTGCTATTTGGGACACACCCTTTCAAGTTCTACCCACTCCTGTGTCAACAACCTGTATCTGTGAAGGTTGCATATTCCCTACCTAGTGCACTACTGCTACCTTATAAAACAACACCCTATTCCCTACCTAGTGCACTACTTTTGGCCAGTGGCAAAGGGGGAATAGGGTGCCATTTGAGACACTGACAGACATCGATTAGCAACACTTTCTGTAAAACAGTAGATTCAGTTTTTGTTTCTTGCAGACCCCCCCTCCTCCTCGCCCCCCTCTTCTCTCAGAAGAGGGTGCACTTCTTGCGCCTCTTTTTGATGGGCGGCGGGCACAGGACGGCCCGGATGGCCTCGTCGAAAACGGTCTTCAGCCCCCTCTGGGTCAGGGCTGAGCACTCCAGGTACTTCACCGCACCTGTGGGGGACAGGAGACAGCCAATCAGAGAAGGGGATGAGGACGAACACACATTCAATTGGTCAGTCAGAAACCTGGACTCAAAAATAGGTGAGTTCAGCCACAGATGAACACTAGAGCTCAAAGAAGCTGGCAGAATAACATTCAGACACACTACATCCTCGCTCTTTCTCAAACTAAAACACACCACCCCCCTTCCACCCCCCCTCCACAGACACCCACCTATCTCCCGTGCCATGGCCAGGCCCTGAGGGTAGGTGATGGGGGACAACTTCTTGTCCCTCAGCCTCTCCACGGTGTCCTTGTCGTCCCTCAGGTCCAGCTTGGTGCCCACCAGGATGATGGGGGTGTTGGGGCAGTGGTGGCGCACTTCCGGGTACCACTGTTAAAGGTCACAGAGAGGTCAGAGGGTTAAGACCATTAAGGTCGAAGGGCCATAAGGTCGTAAGGTCTTAAAAGGCCAACATGCGGACAGAGGTTGTGGAGTTAGCCCAAACAGCGACATGAATGAACAGATGTATACTGTACAATGTGATGCTGACAATATTAGTGATATTACCATTATTATTATTTAGTAGGGTGATAAAGACACTCACCTTAGCTCTGACGTTCTCAAAGGAGGCAGGACTCACCAGAGAGAAACATGTCAAGAACACGTCCTGTAGGGACAATACACAGAAACAGACATGTATTAAACAGGCTCATTAAACAAGAAACACTGCATGAAGAAAATGCGTTGTGATTTCTGTGACTCAGTGACTCTCTAGGCTCTGTACAGAAAGGACAGCAGTTGAAGAGACTAAAGGTTATGTAGGAGCCAAATAGGTAATATTGTATATTTGCATGTTTCCAATTCATGATGCATTTCTGTTGTATGTGTGTTTGCCATTAATCCCCTGTCAAGCGTGTGTACCCCCTCTACAGGCCAATGGAGAATACAGTTAAAAGGCATACATGCTCCAAGGCATAATGGGAGTGACTGGAATGGCAGCACACAGTCTTTTGACCATACCAGACCATGCTGTTTGTTTTTGATCAGAATAAATGCATTTATGTATCCAGAAGAATGACAAATAAATGTGTTATTATTTTTCAACTTGAATCAAACTCTGGACATTGGATTTGTATGCGTCAAGACTAAGATTTCACCCCTCTTCATTGTGGCTAAATGATTAGAATGGGAAATTGTATTGGGACAATTACATTGGAACATTTAGCCACTACAGGGTCTGTTGGCCTTCAGAGCAGGTACAGTAACCTTACAGGTCTGGAGGAGTCTGGAGCTGGGGCCTCACAATACAACACGGGTCGTTGCGGGGTGCTCTGGACAGGATGCAGACAGGATGTATTACATTTACTTACTTTACATTTAGTCATTTAGCAGACGCCTTACAGAGGGACTTACAGGAGCAATTAGGGTTAAGTGCCTTGCTCAAGGGCACATTGACAGATTTTTCACCTAGTCGTATTAAAGTGTGTTATAACAACACCACTCAGTAATCCTGGTGGTTGGCCTGTCACTGGTGTGACTATTAGATTACTATCCCCCCTTTCTGGCTGGATGGGTGGAACGCTAAAATAGCCCCCCTAATCATTTCCTGTGAATCAGCAGGCAGGCAGGGAGCTGTGTGTCAGACGGAGCCGCTGCTGGGGAGGTAATGAGGACAACACAGTGGAATAACAGGAAACTGTGTGGAGAATGAATTAGGCAGACCCAGGAAGACACAAGATGGAGGACGTGGAATGTGTATGAGTGATACTGTATGAGAGATGGGAGTGCGTGTGTGGTTGTGTGTGGGTGTTACCGTCTGTGGATAGGACAGTGGTCTGAGCCTGTCGTAGTCCTCCTGTCCTGCAGTATCCCACAGTCCCAGATTCACTGGTTTCCCATCTACCATCACATTGGCAGAGTAGTTGTCAAACCTGAGAGTGCAGGAGGGGGAGAATATTGTTCAGAGAAGTACACACACACACACCATCATTGTAGTGAAGCTTCATGTTATGATACTCACACTGTGGGGATGTATTCTCCAGGGAAGGCATTGGTGGTATAGCTGATGAGAAGACATGTCTTTCCCACCGCTCTGAGAGACAAAGAGAGAGAGAGAGAGAGAGTTAGTTATTTCACTTTTGTTTATTATCTATTTCACTTGCTTTGGCAATGTAAACATATGTTTCCCATGCCAATAAAGCCCTTTGAATTGAGAGAGAGAGAGTTATCAAATCAATAAATAAAGTCTATAGGTTGTGCTTAGCTGGTTAAGTATTATCCTGATGCACAGGGCTATAGGATGTGCTGAACTGGTTAAGTTGCATTTACAGTAGCTTGATTTGACTGTGTGTGGCTGTGTATGGTTGTTTGGCAGCGTGTGTGTGTGTGTGTGTGTGTGTGAGAACACAAACACTGTCCTACATAGACTTTTGGCTGGGGGGCACATTGGCAGACTGCAGCCCTCCCCCACACACTGATCCACTCCTATCCTCCTATCCTATCCCCTCTTATCACCCGCCGGACAGGGACAGGGGGGACACACAGTGGAAGCTTTCAGAGAAGAGAGCAACACACACTCACTATGACGGCAGAGATGATGGACAGAAGGAAGAAGGGATGTGGGGAGAAACAGGAAGAGTGGGGAGGGCTGATAATGGATAGCAGAGAGAGATGGACAGAAGGCGGAGGAAGGGAAAGTTGAGAGAGAGAGAGGGAGAGAAAAAGAAGGAGAGGGAGACGGAGAGAGAGAGAGAGAGAGAGACAAACAAACCAAAACAAAGGCAAAGTCTTCAAAAACGCTGTTGGGGGGGAAAAACATATGACATTATACAATCCATGTACACAAACAACAAGGGTGCAGTTAAAATTAGCAAAAAACACATACATTTCTTTCCACAGGGCCGTGGGATGAGACAGGGATGCAGCTTGAGCCCCAACCTCTTCAACATACTGTGCCTTCGGAAAGTATTCAGACCCTTTGACTTTTCCACATTTTGCTACGTTACAGCCTTATTCTAACATGTATTAAATATCAAATTTACATAAGTATTCAGACCCTTTACTCAGTACTTTGTCGAAGCACCTTTGGCAGCGTCGAGTCTTCTTGGGTATGACGCTACAAGCTTGGCACACCTGTATTTGGGGAGTTTCTCCCATTCTTCTCTGCAGATCCTCTCAAGCTCTGTCAGGTTGGATAGGGAGCGTTGCTGCACAGCTATTTTCAGGTCTCTCCAGAGATGTTCGATCGGGTTCCTGTCTGGGCTCTGGCTGGGCCACTCAATGCCACGATCGTCATACGAAGCAGACCAAGGCGCAGCATGAAATGCGTACATCTTTTATTTCAGTACTTTCAAATACACAAAACAACAAAACGAAACGTGAAGTCCTCGGTCATACACACAAACCAACACGGAACAAGATCCCACGAATAACAAGTGCACACAAGGCTGCCTAAGTATGGTTCCCAATCAGAGACAACAAGCAACAGCTGATTCTCGTTGCCTCTGATTGAGAACCACCCCGGCCAACACAGAAACACATAACCTAGAACATACCATAGAAACACGAAACATAGACTCTACACAACGAAACTAACACCCTGGCTCAACATACAAGAGTCCCCAGAGCCAGGGCGTGACAGTACCCCCCCCCAAAGGCGCGGACTGCTGACGAAGCGCACCATTGGCTTGGTGCGGGGTGCAGGAACGGGCCGGGCTGGGCTGGCGATGCGCACCATAGGCTTGGTGCGGGGAGCAGGAACCGGCCGGGCCGGGCTGGCGACGCGCACCATAGGCTTGGTGCGGAGAGCAGGAACCGGCCGGGCCAGGCTGGCGACGCGCACCATAGGCTTGGTGCGGGGAGCAGGAACCGGCCGGGCCAGGCTGGCGAAGCGCACCATTTGCTTGGTGCGAGGGGCAGGAACAGGCCGGGCCGGGCTGGCGACGCGCACCATTGGCTTGGTGCGAGGGGTAGGAACAGGCCGGGCCGGGCTGGCGACGCGCACCATTGGCTTGGTGCGAGGGGCAGGAACAGGCCGGGCCGGGCTGGCGACGCGCGCCATTGGCTTGGTGCGAGGGGCAGGAACAGGCCGGACCGGGCTGTGGAGACGGACTGGAGGTCTGGAGCGAAGAGCTGACACAACCCGTCCTGGCTGAATGCCTATTTTTACACACTCTGTGTGAGGCATCAGCACAGGATGTACAGGGCTGTGTACTCGCACTAGCACTACAGCACGTGACACTGGCGCAGGATATCCGGGACCGAGGAGGGGTACTGGAGGCCACGAGCGTTGAGCCGGCACACTCCGTCCTGGCTGCATGCCCACCTTAGCACGACACGTGCGTGGTGCTCGCACAGGACGTACCGGACTGTGCCGGACCACTCGCGGCACAGTACGCAGCTCCGCATACCTCGGAACCTGCCCAGTCTCACGCTGCCTAGCCTGAGTACGGGGAGTTGGCTCTGCTCTACCTCTAGGCTCCGCCAACCTCCCTTCCAGCCCCCCAAACCCGGTGGCCTCCTCTCCTAATCCCCAAACTCGCCCTGTAGCTGCCTCCAGCAGCCCCGTCGTCCATGCCGTGTGCCCCCCCCAAAACATTTCTTGGGGTTGCCTCTTGCGTGTCCGACGTCGGCCCGGTTGGCGCCGCTGCTCCTCTCTATGGCGCGCCTCCACCGTCTCCTCCCACGGACGGCGATCCATACCGGCCTGGATTTCCTCCCAAGTCCAGGACCCCTGCCCGTCCAAGATCTCCTCCCAAGTCCAGGCTGTCTGCACCTGGGCACGCTGCTTGGTCCTGTTTTGGTGGGATCTTCTGTCACGATCGTCATACGAAGCAGACCAAGGCGCAGCGTGAAATGCGTACATCTTTTATTTCAGTACTTTCAAATACACAAAACAACAAAACGAAATGTGAAGTCCTCGGTCATACACACAAACCAACACGGAACAAGATCCCACGAATAACAAGTGCACACAAGGCTGCCTAAGTATGGTTCCCAATCAGAGACAACAAGCAACAGCTGATTCTCGTTGCCTCTGATTGAGAACCACCCCGGCCAACACAGAAACACATAACCTAGAACATACCATAGAAACACGAAACATAGACTCTACACAACGAAACTAACACCCTGGCTCAACATACAAGAGTCCCCAGAGCCAGGGCGTGACACTCAAGGACATTCAGAGACTTGTCCCAAGGCCACTCCTGCATTGTCTTGGCTGTGTGCTTAGGGTCATTGTCCTGTTGGAAGGTGAACCTTCACCCCAGTCTGTCTTGAGTGCTCTGGAGAAGGTTTTCATCAAGGATCTCTCTGTACTTTGCTCCGTTCAGTTTTCCCTCGATCCTGACTAGTCTCCCAGTCCTTGCCGCTGAAAAACATCCCCACAGCATGATGCTGCCACCACCATGCTTTACCGTAGGGATGGTGCCAGGTTTCCTCCAGACGTGACGCTTGGCATTCAGGCAAAAAAGTTCAATCTTGGTTTCATCAGACCAGAGAATCTTGTTTCTCATGGTCAGAGTGCTTTGGGTGCCTTTTCGCAAACTCCATGCGGACTGTCATGTGCCTTTTACTGAGGAGTGGCTTCCGTCTGGCCACTCAACCATAAAGGCCTGATTGGTGGAGTGCTGCAGAGATGGTTGTCCTTCTGGAATGTTCTCCCATCTCCACAGAGGAACTCTAGAGCTCTGTCAGAGTGACCATTGGGTTCTTGGTCACCTCCCTGACCAAGGCCCTTCTTCCCTGATTGCTCAGTTTGGCCGGGCGGCCAGCTCTAGGAAGAGTCTTGATGGTTCCAAACGTCTTCCATTAAAGAATGATGGAGGCCACTTTGTTCTTGGGGACCTTCAATGCTGCAGAAATGTTTTGGTACCCTTCCCCAGATCTGTGGCTCGACACATTCCTGTCTCGAAGCTCTATCGGACAATTCCTTTAACCTTGCTCTGACATGCACTGTCAACTGTGGGACCTTATATAGACAGGTGTATGCCTTTCCAAATCATGTCCAATCAATTGAATTTACCACAGGTGGACTCCAATCAAGTTGTAGAAACATCTCAAGGATTATCAATGGAAACAGGATGCACCGGAGCTCAATTTCGAGTTTCATAGCAAAGGGTCTGAATAGTTGTGCAAATAAGGTATTTATTTTTGTTTCTTTAAATACATTTGCAAAAATTTCTAAAAACCTGTTTTCACTTTGTCATTATGGGGTATTGTGTGTAGATTGATAAAAATAGATATTTAATCAATTTTACAAGAAGGCTGTAACGTAACAAAATGTGAAAAAAGTCAAGGGGTCTGAATACTTTCCGAAGGCACTTTGTATATCAATGAATTGGCGAGGGCACTAGAACAGTCTGCAGAATCCAGCCTCACCCTACTAGAATCTGAAGTCAAATGTCTACTGTTTGCTGATGATCTGGTGCTTCTGTCCCCAAACAAGGAGGGCCTACAGCAGCACCTAGATATTTTGCACAGATTCTGTCAGACCTGGGCCTTGACAGTAAATCTCAGCAAGACAAAAATAATGGTGTTCCAAAAAAGGTCCAGTTGCTAGGACCACAAATACAAATTCTATCTAGACACCGTTGCCCTAGAGCACACAAAAAACTATACAGACCTTGGCCTAAACATCAGCGCCACAGGTAACTTCCACAAAGCTGTGAACGATCTGAGAGACAAGGCAAGAAGGGCCTTCTATGCCATCAAAAGGAACATCAAATTCGACATCCCAATTAGGATCTGGCTAAAAATACTTGAATCAGTTATAGAACCCATTGCCCTTTATGGTTGTGAGGTCTGGGGTCTGCTCACCAACCAAGAATTCACAAAATGGGACAAACACCAAATTGAGACTCTGCAAAAACACCAAATAACGTAAAACATAAAACACCAAATAATGCATGCAGAGCAGAATTAGGCCGAT